AAGGTAAGCTGTGGGTGGTGGATATCCAGGCTTTTGAGGGAAGGGATGGTGCGTTGTGCAGGAAGAAGATACTAGCAAGGCTGGGGGGGGGGGGTGCACCCCCTCCTAGCTTGAGCGGGCTTGGAGCAAGGCTGGGGGGGGGTGGTGGTGCACCCCCCCCTAGCTTGAATGAAAGTGGACGCCAAATGGAGAACTCTCGTTAAATAGTTGATTTACCCATAAGAAATGATGATTTTCTATAGCTATGCTAGTTTTTCCAGAGGGTAATTGCTGATTGGTGGTTTGGAACATGGCTTTTATGACTTTCCATTCAGTTGGGAATATTAATAATAGTCCCAACTGACGAACTCATATTTTTCAGAGGGGTAGGTATACCACCAACCAGCATGGGTTGATGAATGAAAAAAATGATGAATCATTGAATCATGCATGATCATGCTTGTAATCATAGATAAACCCATCAATACACGTTCCTAAACATGGTAAATTATTACTTTATATTCGATATTTAGATATGAAGATGTGGTTGACAAATGCCAGCGGGATGGTCGTGAAGAACCAAGCAATTGATCGTTCCCTCCCAAAAGAAGACTCCCAAAAACTGGGTCCGATGGTTTCTTGGGGTTTTGAACACCAAACCGCTGGGCTTAGCAAGGCAGCCTTAGCTAACTATTGCTGGTTTGCCATTGGAGGTTTGCTTCCTTCCAGGTCCCGGCTATGCACTTGACTCGCATCAAAGTGGGTGAAATTTCCGTTGAGTGGAGTATCACCTTGCAGGCTCTCTCGAGCCATCGAACTAATATAATGAGGTTCCTATCACTCACACACACACATATATATATATATATATGCGTATATATATAAATATACATGTATGCACACATATATATATACATACATATACACTTTTATATTTATGTATACATATATTATAATATATATATATGTGTGTGTGTTTATTTATTTATTTTGATATATCATATCAACCCCACAATACCATTAGAATCTCATTTAAGCACTATGTATGTATATATATTTTTTTTAGGTAGGTTCACCATTCTATACCATTACAATCCCATTCGCATCCATCGGTGAGGCGAAGGTGACAGGTGGCTGCCTACCACAAGGTGATAAAACCTACGAAGCTAAAGTTGATTTGTAACTAGGTTAACTACGGTTTGTGATAGGTACTAGTACATTTAGAAACCAGGAAGTTGTATGTAGTTGTGGGACCACGCTCTTTTCTGGAATTTCGTCATGTCAATATAGTGTAGAGACATATTTTACCTGAAGTCTGCATGACACAGAAGGACATAATTAGAGAGAAGAATGCTTTGAACGTGCAGCTGCTTGTGCAGGATGGCAATGATATGCCGATACATATAGATATTTAATCAATCTCGACCTTCCCGCTGGGGTTTTATTGCCATTCACCGACTATTTTATGTAAACCCTTGAGCTAACCATGGCTTATGGATGCCTATGGTTTATAACTTATAACTATGGTTATAACTATTGTTGTTATTACTATTCACTATTTGTTAAGCAACTATTAACCAACCAACTAGCTAAAAAGCCAACTAACCCAACCATGGTTTTAGCCTATTATTATTAAACACCTTTTACAACCTTAACCAGAGAATCATGACTATGGTTTATGATTACTTAAATTATGAACCACGGCTTTCTGTTGGTGTTTATATCCCATGAGCCAAGGTATCAATATGGTTGTTATTATCATTATTAGCCAACTAGTAAAGGGATAGTGTGTGTGTGATACAATCATATATATAGCCATATTAAGTATTTATACGTTGCCAACTATACATGATTATTATTGAACTCAGGTATCCCTGCCATTAGCCAACGAGGCAATGGTTAACTAACAAGGTGTGTATATATATACACACAGATGTATGCACAGTAACTATGGTATCCTTGCTGGCCAACCAACAAACTAACCATGGTTTATAAGTATCATATATATATATACTGTATATACTATCATGATTATCCAACGGTCCTCGCCATTTTTCCAACAATTCAATGTTGGGGTCAAACCACCACCGTGGGGGTAATCCAACGGTTAACGAATTATGAGAACCAACTATAGTTATCAACTAGACATCAGCCTTTAGTAGTCAATAATAGCTTTTAATAGTCTATAATATTCCTACAATATTCTATAAAAACCAAAATCAACGATCATTTACCAACTATAGTGAATAATAAGCATCTATTATTAGTGTTTATTAATTATATAACCCACTATAATGAAATCATCAACTATGGTTTATTAGCTACTATCCAAGTTGATTACAGTTAATACTATTTAATATCAACCACTATTATCATTATTAATACTAGTCTATAATAGTCTATAATATCCAATTATCAACGACCACTTACCAACTATAGTCCATACTGTAATGACCATGGGTTACCCATAATAAAACCAACTATAGTCCAACTACTACCAATAGCCAACTATAATATATAATCAATACCAATATGACCAACTAATACCCATAATAACCAACTATTATAGTATTGTGGTATTATGGTGAAATGGACTATAATTGGTTATAGTGCACTATAAATAGTATTATGGACTATGGTGGCCAACTATTATAGTCCGCTATAAACAGTTATCGTCTAAACCCACAGGACCAAATCGCCCTGGCTGCCTTCAGCGAATCCTTCGACGCGGGGCAGCGCGTGGCCACGCAGGGGGAGGCGCTGGCGGCGATTTACTTCGCAGCTCGGCGTTTACGGCGGGGCTCGCCGTTGGGGAAATGTGGGTGAAATCAACAGAGAAGGACAGTGATGGCTTAATCACCATATTTCTTTGCTTAAGGAACGTTTTCCATGGTTGTAAGGTGCTTCAAGCAGAGAAATATAGTGATTTCAGCACAACCCAGTCAGTTGGATCAACGGTGTGCACGACATGGGGCCCCTTATAGTTCGAACGCATAGAAACATGGTGGTGTACCCAACAAACATGGTGATTTTTTCTGAGATGTATAGTTGAAAAAATGATAAACTGAGTTGGTTTACAACGCCAATAACTTGAATTGACGGTACTAGCGTTTGCTAGTAGATATATCTATCATCTGTCCTTAGCGCTTGGGGATCATCGGGATTTTCAGCCTTCACCAGCATCAATTATGGAGCTGATTCAGTTTCTAAAGAACGGATCTAGTTGGTTTCGTGTTGGTTGATTTGTTGCTGTAGTTTTATCCGCTGCTCTTAGTTTCGGCTTTGCTCGATGAAGTGTTATCCAACTACCAAAGGTAGTTTTAGCGGTAGTTTTAGCGTGTTTTTCCCGGAGATTTTCGGTGAAGGATATAAGTTGGATGACAACTCATGGAGGGAAAAACCAGTCAAGTACTATCCATGGATTCCAGATGATTTTAGCATATTTTGGCACCAGAAGAAAATACAACTAAGTATGTGTTCCTTATAACAACCCCCCAAAAAGAACACAGAACAACTAGTAACATCTGATCCTTTTTATTTACATAATTTCCTATATATGTATAAACACACATATAATAACATATAGTATACATAACCATGTCCTATCCTTAGCCATACCAAACGCCCGCGAGTTTACCCAGTTGACGTCTAAGGTGAAGAAGGGCGGCCTGGCAGTGATGGCCGGCGGCGAAGTCAAGGCCGACGGCAAGTTCTCGGGCGGCAAAGAGGCGCGGCACGGGTCCCGGACACAGCGGGGGATCGAACGGAGAAAGCCATGAGAGTTTTCTCGGAAAAGGATCTTCAAATGTGATTTTAGATGGATTTACGATGATAGATAAGCTGATTTTAAGGTTTAAAAAATGTTATATTATATATCATAATATATATATATGTTTGTGTGTGTGTCGGATGAGTGAACTACCATTTGTAAATGTATATGTATATGTCTTATATGACCTATATTACCACAAGATCGATTCATGACCCGCAAGCGGTGAAAAATCTGAAAAGTCCTAAGATGTCCTACCCTCTGGTAAACTAACATAGCTATGGAAAATCACCATTTTCAATGGGAAAATCCACTATAAATGGCCATTTCCAATAGCTATGTTAGTTTACCAGAGGGTAAGTATATTTTTTGATGACCATGATGAAGTGGCAGTCCCAGTCTTGGACTTTGGTAGCATGGCTAGCGATCTGAGCCGGAACCAAGCGAAAGGTCGGAAATGGCCCTACTTCCACTGGTTTTTTCTTCCAACTTATGCGGGTTATAACGACCTTTTTTTCCAACAGTTAAATCATTGAAACTTCTGGATATATACATTATATACCTATAATATCCTATAATGATTACATATTTTAACTTCGATGCATACATAATATATATATATATATTCACCTATATACATACATAATAATAATGATAATAATAATAATGATAATAATAATGATAATAATCATAATAATAATCATAATAATGATAATCATAATAATAATATAAATTGATGGATCCAAAGGGTTTGTAAACACCCAAGCTGCATTTTTCCAGCTGCCTGCAGGAGCATCACCTCTCCTCTGGGGAATACATCGGTGCCGCGCTGCTGTTGAGTGCCAAGACCAGGCCTGGGGGGCGGCGGTGGTGAACTTTGGGATTGCACTATGGTTACTATATGGTTACTAAAACATAGTGCAATCTACCATGGCTGTTACTATATGGTTACTATATGGTTATATATCACTATGGCAATGGGTATAACTAAATATGGTTACTATATGGTTTCAACAAATAGGAAAACCATAGGACAACTATAGGACAATGGTGGTTTACTTGGATGTACAACTAATTTATGTTGGCTAAGTTGGTGCAAATAACTCCAATTTCACTCATGTGGGCAAAACAATGCAATTTTTACCACCCATGACTGGGACTGGTAAAACTACCACTTACAAAAATTGTGATGACTGGGGGATGGTTTATTATTGGTTTTAACTACATTAATCTTGTCATGTGGTTTCAAAATACATATAAAAAACACGCACATAAAATTAGAAACCTATCAATCCTACCATCTTTGCAGGATTTATATCACCCATAAATAGTTCATTAGTAGGTTTGCCACATCAATGTGGAAAAAAAACTCCAGGGACAGCATTTTCAATGTGAGTTGAGTCGTTCCCCAAGATTTGGGATGCACAAGGACCCCCACGTGGGGAACCCGACAGAACTTCGTGTATCTGAAGCGATCTGAGATGGAAATCTGAGAGGGATTTTGCATGTCTCTGTTAGTTTGCTGAAGGGAACAAACCATTTGTTACGTGGGAGCTCATCAAAACCCACAAAAATGCAAAAATGACGATGCAAATATTGAATGGAATTGAAGACGTCTCGTCATGGTTGCCAAGAAACAATTACCACCCCACATTAGATGGTCCTTCATATGTGTGCTCTGTGCGTGTCTGAAAATGATGCAAAACATCTGAAATCTATTCTTTTAACCATATTAATGAATACTATGTTTTCCAATTCTTCCTGGCCATGGGTGGTAAATCTCCCATGTTCAAAAACATCAACATAATATTATGATACTTCACGAGGGTGGCTTGTCTTTCAGGATGGACAAATTGACTTTAACGATTCAGATGGTTTCAGAAGGGAAGTCGAGTAAGCCTTGTCAGGCTTTGTTGCTTTTCTTCCCTAGGTTATCTCATATTTTCTGCTTGGTGGTTTGGAACATGTTTTATGTTTCCATATTTTGGGAATTTCATCATCCCAACTGGCTTTCATATTTTTCAGAGGGGTAGGCTCAACCACCAAGCAGTTTTATCAGTTTTGTACGGAAACAGCGGTGGCAGTTTCGATCATTGGCATTCCACCAGCCCCCAAAATGTGAGGCCCTTGTGGGAAAACACGCTGCTGGCGGATGCCAAGTCCGCCAAGTGCCTTGCTGAAACGCAATTTCTTGGGATTCGAGCAGCGCCCTCGACTCTTGGGGCTTCGGTATGCTGAAAAAATCTGGCATGTTGATTTTGGATGATTTGGCATGGCTGATTTGGCTTAAGTACGAAAGGCCTTTTTTGTTGATTCTCTTCAGCTGGAACGCTAGTTCGGAAAATCCTTAGTCTTCCAAAAGGAGGAAACATATCTATGCATATTTTATACAAGCTTGCCCAGACCCTGGGCGCGGAAAAGAGGGTTTCGCTGGACTCCCTCATAGAACAACGACTGCACATATTTATTGAAGTAGATGATGCCAAATGGGTTTGCCCAAAATCCCAAACTTGTAGAAATTGGAAACGTGATGAACATGATTAACATCCATTGAAATCGGTATTGCCCCATTTCGAGAAACAGAAAAGACAGTACTCTTTCGCCATCTATACCATAGCAATGATAACATCACCATGTTCAATATGTGAATCGGCTACAGGTAGTGTTGTTTTTTTCTGCATCACCACTTTAGATTCCTGCCATGTTTGAAAACATCTTTCGTCATATTTCGCCGTTTCACTGGAAGACTCCTAAATGATAGGTACGTTGATTGAAACAAATAAATGATATAAATCAATCATCTCAAGCTTTAGAACTTTGAACAACAACTTAAACTAGCCTGGGTCAAACGTTGGATTACGTACCTTAGCTACGAGATGGTCATGCGATGTCATGCCCTCTTTAAGAGGTGTTAATATACCAGTATTTTCATTTTGCCAGATAAGTCTGGCAAAAATATACTACCATAGATATGGTAAACCACCACAGTTTCCCCTCTGAACGGCCTGTTTTTCCATAGAACAAACCCAGTTTTTTCTCCGGACGGCCGGACGGCCCTAGGACGGAACTGTTGTGCATCAGCGTCAAGGACTTGAAGGAAATCTTGGGCAACAACTTGGCGAAGATCCTAGAGACTGCCTTGGTGAACAAGGGCCTCAGGCGGCTTTTTGGGGAGTCATCAGAGTCACCAAAATAGGAAGATTTTAACTCTCAAAACGCAGAGAGAGAGATATATATATATATATAGATATGATACAAGTGGAACACCTGGGTACTTTAGTACAACTTCATTTTTCGGCCATGATGTGTGACCTGGTATGGGTATGATGTATGGGTCGGTATTTGGGTATGCCGCAAATCGGCGACTTTTCCAAACGTGGGATGGTTTACGATGGACTAAAAATTGCTAATATCATCCCAAGATGTGTGGAGATAGAGAGAGAGAGAGAGAGATAGAGAGAGAGAGAGATATAGAGAGAGAGAGAGATAGAGAGAGAGAGAGAGAGATAGAGAGAGAGAGAGATAGAGAGAGAGAGGGAGAGGGAGAGATCCAAGATGTGTGGTCCTTTTAGCCTTAGATTCCTTTGACATTTGGCCCTATATCCAACATACAGTAATATATGTCCTAAGGCGGTTTACCCCAGCTGCCATTCATTTTGGAGTTAGATCACTCAGATTCACCATTTGCCGGGGTGACGGATGGTGGTTAGCAGAAGTGCGGCACCAGCCCCGGCAGGATGTGCCCGGTGATGTCGCAGTTCTCTTCAACTCAAAGGAATGACATTGCGAAGGCAATCGCTGGGAGCCCAGTTTTTTTGGGTCCCAGCAGGAGCGGATGGGATTCGAAGCTTGTCTTTTTACATATTGTTTGAGCTATACCACTAGGACCTACTGGGACATACTAGGACATCTATATTATAGTGTATAGAATATGGATGACTCGAAAAATTGTCAGTATCAGATGATTCCTGTATACGTTATCATTGTTTCAGATGTTTCCCCATTGCACATCCCTTTTCTTAACAACCCCTTTTTACGGGTGGCAAAGCCACTACACATCAAACATGTTGGATCATATAAGGGTACAATATATTCACCTAACCAGCTAAAAGTGCGGATAGTGTCTACCCCAGAATTGGATGCTGGGAACAATCACAGGAATACCCTCTATTTCAAAGATAACATAAGGTTTTCTGTAGATGTTCACTTTAACCCTAAGCCAATCTATTTTTCAGTCTAAGGATTGGCTAGTGATGCCTACCGAATCGAGAATTGTTCATAGCCTATAGATTTACCAAAGTCAGTCTAATATTTCTAGATTTACCTTATTCAATCTAACAATCTAACCCTCAACATAGATTTACCATTCGGATCCTGGTATCCATTGAATGGTAAAATTTCCATATAGATTTACCATAATAAACCATTACCCTCTGGTAAACTAACATAGCAATTGAAAATCACCATTTTTAATGGGAAAATCCACTATAAATGGCCATTTTCAATAGCTTTTTGTAAGTTTACCAGAGGGTAATCCTCATCATGGGAATGGTTTCTTGCTACTTTTCTCATGGTAAAATTCCTTGACTCGGTGGCCTTTTAGGTCATCAAAGACCTGGCAGCCGGGGGCACAGTCGAAGAAGGTACCGGGCCACGGCTACAGGGCGAGCTACCGGTGATTTGGTCGTCGAAAAAACGGTGGCAAAAAATGAGAAAACCCTGGTTGGTTGATGATTAGTAGGGGATTATACTATAATTTTCTACCCTTGATATACTTGGGATTCTAATCAACTGATCAACTGTGGCTAGATTGACTTTGAAATGGTTCCTTCCCGTGCTTCTGAACGCTTTTTGTGGTTCAAACACGTGTGTGTATATATATAATATGTATAATCTATGTACATCTATGCTGTTTACGATCTCTTAAGATGGGATGGTTTGACATTAGTTCAATCAGGACATGTCTTCCGCCTTCGACGTGCATCCATTATCGTCGCCCAGAATATCCTAGAACCCAGTGATGATCACCATGTTCATCCATTTTCCAAGTTACCCTCTGGTAAACATAGGAAAAAACTATGGAAAATCACCATTTTCTAGCTGTGTAAATCCACTATTTCCATGGGCATGGCTTCTATTGCTATAACAAATTACCACAGGGTATATCCCATTAATATTCCATTAAATCACTATAACATCCCATTAATAAATCCCATTAATATCCCATTAAATGTTAGTTTACCAGAGAGCACAGAAGTCTTCAATCCTTGGTGAATCTTGAAGATCAGCTGTGTCTAAACGGCTGTGCTGTGGCTACACGTTTTTCCGCAGGTGTGCGATACATCGTGGTGCTGGAAGGAACTGTCACTGGCATGTACAAGGAGGAAGAGGTCGGAAGATGTGGGAAGCCGGAAGCCATCCGGAAGCCATCCCTGAATTCATCTAGATCTGATTTCGATATTTCATCTACAGTAAGTATAGAAATCTTGATGAATCTTAATGATTTAATGTTTTTAATGTACGTGGTACAATGTTATAAACCAAAAGGCATCATTGCATTCTCCAATTCAGAGTTGCTCCAACCTATACGTAAATGACAGCCAAGTTTGTGAAGGGTCCATTGATGATTTCTTGCCGATCAAATTTACAAGCATGTGCCTGGGGTGTTTGAAGTGATACTGTCACTGCAGGTTTCCTAAAATGGAGTCCCCTAAATCATCAAAAAAACAATTTGCCAATTTGTTTCTCAAAGGAAAAGCACTTGGTTTGGGGCACAGCAACTTTGATACTGGTTACCCTCTGGTAAACTAACATAGCTATGGAAAATCACAATTTTAATGGGAAAATCCACTATTAATGGCCATTTTCAATAGCTACGTTAAATTACCAGAGGGTAATTAATAAGCCTGGTGATCATAAGTTCCCTTTCTGAACCGTGGGTGAAGCCATCCATCCATTTGCCAAGTGGGATGATCCGTAAACACGTAAAAAATTTGTGGTTCATATCGTGGTCGTTTCAGAAGTACACCCCTGGAAAAATTTTCTTGGCCCCGTTGTGTTGGTGGTTTTGTTTCAGGATCTTCGAATGTTCAATATCCAAAGTGAGAAAGATGACGAAGTTTTTTTCACCAACCTGGAATGTGGCCATTTTGGGGTTCCCGAAAATGAAGCATATGATTTGGTGACCCTGTGACGGCTGCTCTACGTCTCTGGATCGGCACAGTACAGAGCACTTTTCATCAGAGGTGACCGACAATTGGTGGTCAGTGAAACAGCACAAGTTCGCATTTGCAGGTTGGACTGTAGCCACACGGATCTAGATTTGCCCAGTGTTTTTGGGGTTGGATTTCACCATTTGGCCTACTAAAACTTGAACTTATCTATCAGGGGATCATTAAAGCTGATGGAAGCCAGGCTCCATGTCTTGGGACACAGAGAAAAGACGCCTGATAATGTCAACCCCGGATTAATAAACCATGGTTTACTAATTAGGGGGGTACTCCTCCAATAGTCATAATCTAATACTTAAATGGTACCCTCCCAATTAAACAGCCTAGGGGTTTATTAATCCAGGGTTGACATTACAGTAGCTAAACAGCCATCAGCTGATTCTTGGCGGGTTTGGGTCGCAGCCCAAGCCAGACAATTGGGATGACTCCATCCGTAGCCATATTTAATCGAAGTACCCTAGAGGGTGTCGTCAAACATGGGAATTTGAAATCTCCAAAGTAAATGGAGGTTTATAACATAGCTGAGAAAATCAACAAACTAAATGGAACATATTTTTGTGGAGGCGATGGAGAGAGAGAAATGTGACATTTTCCAGCTAGCCACGTTTGAAAATCGGATGGTAATGGGCTATAATATGCTTTCAATCATGAATCAATCATCATTTACATCATTTATCGGTTTTCTTTTCACTATATATAGATCCCCATATTTTGATGGTTAAATTCCATTCAACTCCTATTTCTACAAGGGATGTGTTCCCATGTCATGGAGCTGCCCCGTGCCAACACGTCGCCGCTGCCCCACGCCGTGGACGCCCCGGACGTCCCGCGGAGCGCATCGCTGGGAAGTGCGACGCCGGCGAGAGGCGGGGGTCGATTTTTGCAGATGGGACATGAGTACCCTCTGGTAATTTAACATAGCTATTGAAAATGGCCAGTTATAGTGGATTTTCCCATAAAAAATAGTGATTTTCCATAGTTATGTTAAATTACCAGAGGGTAAACCTGGGGATATTCACGTTATAGAGATCTTGTACAGAGAACTGGTGAAGAGAACAGAGATCTTGCTCAGAGATCTCCTATAGAGAGCTTGAACGGAGATGAGATCTCTTACAGAGATCTTCTTTCGAGATCTCGTCTTATAGACACCTTGTACAGATAGCCTTACAAAGGGATCTTGCACAGCAGCTTCTACAGAGAACCTGTCAAGGAGATCTTGCACACGATCTTCTACAGTATCTTCACAAATGGAACTTACAGAATCTAACCTGGTATCTCTTCTTCATGGTTCATGTTCCTTGCAACACTGCATGGGGCCTCTTGCCGGGATAATTCATGAGATGATTCAGCAATTCAGCTGAAATTGCTGAACTTCATCCATAGAAAAGCACTAGAAACCCAAATCCAGCATGTCATGTTTGCAGTTACAGTACCTGATAATCCCATGTTTTTTTTGCCGTTTTATTTGCAATATGATGCCCTGTGCTGAGCTAAGTTGATTACAAGTATGTTAAATAGGCTTCTTAGCAGATATACCCATAGTTAGTCTGATGGGCCACTGAGGAAATAGTGCTCAGATCCCCAAAGACAATCCTATGCATTTCTTTAGTTTGTAGGGTACCCCTATTTGGTGGTTCACTTCAGCTGGTAGCTGGGTGATACAGTCAGTTTCAAATGGACCAACCTTTCAAACCGCAAGGTTTGCAACTCACTCACTGGGGTGAAGATGGTGAAGAAGCAAGTCACCTATATCATCCCCCTAATATCAAAAACCATAAAAAACCGGTAAATGCTTCTCAAATGATATGTTTTTGATATATGCACCATTTACCGGTTAAAATCCTTACCATATAGCAACGTCCCCTAATATAAAGCCAATGATGGGTTTTACCCTCTGGTAAACTAACATAACTATGGAAAATCACAATTTTTAATGGGAAAACTCACTATAAATGGCCATTTTCAATAGCTATGGTAAATTACCAGAGGGTATCCATACTAAACCATGGCTTCAAACTCCGGCGTTGCCTGGCACCCCGAGGCGCCCGAAAAGCTGTGGCTGTCCCGTCGCTGGCGCCGCGGCGAGAGTTCCAATGCAGGCGCCTGGATGTTCCGGCTGGACGTCCAGAAATTGTTTCCGCGATGGGGGTTGGATGATGTTACATCTGGGTCATATCTGGGTCATTAAATGTCCCCATTGAACATCACCCAACCATTAGGTATATGGTCTATAATGGCTACTATAAGGTGATGTCCAATATACCCAAAATGGGACAGTTACCAACCCCTGTTACATCTGGTCTATATGATGTATGAGTGGAAAATGATGTGGAATATTTGCAATATTAGTGGATATTTGCGGTTTTCTACATCTGTATTGGTTCACTCGATAGGTAAATCATCTATGATGAACAAACTTTCTAGATCCCATAGCTATGCAACAAATTACCAGAATTGCAGGACCCTAAATTGAAGGTATGACTGTATCATATTTTGACCACAGTTTGTCGGGATATTCCCTGAAATTTAGCCCAAAGCACATAAACCTTATCTTTGGATTATCTTTGGTAGGCACTTCCAATTTAGGTTCCTGAAATTGCCACTCGGGTTAGGTGATGCTCTTGATTGCAGGCCACATCACTGAAACATAAACTGACACAAGGTGGTGCCCTCCAGATATGCTTGTTGGTTAAGGAAAAAACGCTACTGTTCCAAAAACACAGTAAAATCAATTCAAAATGTGTGGAAAACTGACCATGACTGCAAATCATTCTCCAAATGGCAGACCGTTGTTTTCCACATTTTTTGTATTTCTAATCAAATAGGCAAAAACATACTTATACAAGGCATCTGAAAAATAAATATGCACCCATAAAATGGATGCCTACATATCTACCTACCAACATACCTACCTACCTACCTACCTAAGTCTACATATATACCTACATACCTACATTCCTACATACCTGCATACCTGCAGACATGCAATCGTGCATACGTGCATACGTACATACCTACATACCTACATGTTATGTCATACCTACATGACATACCTACGACATGCGTACATACGTACATCCGTATTTTCATATATGCATACGTAGATCCGTATTTTGATTCATACATACATACATACATACATACATACATACATACATACATAGGTACGTACATACATACAGACATACATCCATGCATGCATACATACCTACATACATACATACATACATACACACATACATACATACGTACATACATACATACACATACACATACACATACCCATACGCATACACATACACATACACATACATAATCATACATACGCATACACATACACATACACATACATACACATACATAATCAAACATACACATACATACACATACATACACATACATACACATACATACACATACATACACATACATCCACATATATGCACATACATACACACACATACACATACATACACGGACATACACATACATACACATACATACATACACATACATACACATACATACACATATATGCACATACACACACACACATACACATACATACACGTACACATACATACATATACATACACATACATACACTTACATACACATACATACACATACATACACATATATGCACATACATACACACACATACACATACATACACGGACATACACATACATACACATACATATTCATACATATACATACATATACATACATATACATACATATACATACATATTCATACATATACATATTTACATACATATACACATACACATACACATACATATACATATACATATACGTACACACATACATACACAAACATACATACATACGTACATACATACACAAACTACTAGTAACATACATACATACAAACATACAGACATGCATACATGCATGCATACTTACATAAGTGCATGCAAAAATGCACCGATACATACATACATACATGCACAAACATACATACATACATACATACATATATATATATATATATATGTATAGATAGATATGTATACACACCATAAACCCAATTTTTTCAGCCTCATGATTCATTAACCGGTTAATAAGCCTGGTTCCTTCACAGGCCTTGGCTCTGCTGATCCCGCAGTGTTTTTTCAGAACCCTTTCGCCTGGAAATTCACATGCTCCTGGACTGTTAGTAACTGTTAGTGTGATCGAATGATATCTAATGTTTCCTGTTGTGAGAATTTCTGATGCAAAACTTGTGATGTTTGCTGTGTGGTTGACAAGGCGTGATTAAAACTACCCATTGACATCTGTCCGCAAGTTGGAAATTGTGCCAAAATACTTCTTGGGATATATACTGCAACCAGTGTCTTCCGATGATTTCATAATCGGATTTTGTTCTTGGCTCAATTTTACAACAGATCTCTAGGAATACAATAATAACGATCGCCACACAAATAGACATAGTATGGAAAAGTTTGCCCTATAGCCTCCATGCATCGTATTCACTGTATATTTTACAAGCGTTTCCCCCCAAAGTGTCCAAGTCTCGTAGGTAAATATGCCATAACATGGAGCATATGGGATAATGAATCGCTATCATAAATCAACATAAATCAGCGAAAAACGACCCATGACAAATCACCATGTTTTTGTTGGATTTATCACCCCTGCCCTATGGTTTTCCTATCATTTTGTGGGTTAAATCACCATTCCTGTGGTTTTCTTATGGTTTTCCTATGGTTTTCCTGTGGTTTCCACGTTTTTCCAACGGGATCTGAACCAGGATTTGCTTGCAGCTCTGCGACGGCTGCATCCAGCGATCCTTCACGGACTGCGCAGTTCCCGACGTCCACGCAGTGACGTGATTACTGCTGGGTTTTGGATGGTTTTAGCTGGTCAAAGTTGGTTTCTTGTATATAGTGATATTTTTTGTTTGGATAATTTTAGTTGGGGCTAGTGTTTTGGTTGGTTTGTTATAGCTATAGTTTTTTTTTATGTTTAGTTGTTTTTTGTCGCTGATCCTTCGATGAATTTGACTGAGTTTCGCTTCTTCATAATAGCTTTGTAAGTTGAACCATGGTTCCCTTGCATCGCCGTTTCAGCGGTTGCGAGCTGGGCTCGCAGGTGCATGCCAACATGCCAACATGCCAATTTGTACCTGAAATGGCGAGATGAATTTTTCCCTTCGGCCCTTCGTGAAAGGATATGGGCCATGGGGTTAGGTCACAAGCTGTCCATATTTGGGTTCCAATAATCATCCATTAACCAAGGGCTGCAGGATGCCATGACCAACAAGGGCAGGTCCTCCATCCTTTTGTTCCATTTGTATCACGTTCCAAGACTATGTTGGAGTTGTTCCATGTTAATGTTCAATATGTTCAGGACATATTTGCCGTGAACATGGGGTGCATGAATCCTTCAATAGATTTCAATTGTCGAGGCTCACTACCGTGTCAAACATTGCGGGTCACATCTGATTATATAATCAGCGAGTGTTTTACCTCTCTACATTCTACAATGTGGCACGTGCGTAGTTGTGATTTAAAATAAGGTTAACTATGGTTTATGATGGTAATTAAAGCTAATGTTGGACGCTGATTAATTACTCTTTAAGGAGTCAATTTTGGAGGGACCATGTCTGGAGAATTCAGGATGATCAACTTAAGTGAAGAATTCAATTGATGCCAATCGACTTTCAATTGGTTTTCATCTAATTGCGTTAAATTCAGTTTACTTTATATCTTAAAAGAAATCTAAGGATAAGTAAGGATTTCAATTTATATCAATATGTTTCTTACTTGTGATTACCCTATTTGTAAAAGAAATCTAAGGACACTAAGGATTTGTTATTCATGTCAATTTGCTTTCCATATATATATATAGTTTCCTTTGTGGCAAAGAAGGAAACCTCAGGCGAAGTGAGCATGTCAATTTATATTTACCTCCTTTCAGTTTATTGTGCTGTTATGACATTAAAACACATCTCAGGAAAAGTAAGGATTTCAATTCATATCAATCTATTACTATATACATTCTTTTCCTTCTGTCCACCCAGGGGTTTGGTTGAATTTTTGCATTATGAAAACTTGAAATAAGATGAAACAAGCTGGCTAAGTTTTTCCCCGTATTGTTTGACACAATAGAGTACCACCCAAACAGTTCTATTGTTGAGGATTTGAGTTCATGGGCTACTCTCTTGAAAAAAATGTTTGGGTGCGTTTTAACTGTGACTTTGGGAATTCTTGCATTCTAAGGATGGCTTGCCGAAGTAATTGCAATTGCTTTGCCCAAAGCATGGTAGATAAACGGATTCTTTTTGGACGCCTTTTTTTTTGGACATAATAGGCAATAGGGTACCATCCAAACAAATCAATTGTTGAGGATCTGAGTCAGTCATGGGCTACTCCCTTGAAAATTTGTTTGGGTGCTGTTTTTTATCGGGGATTTAATATGGAAGTTGGTCATTTGGGACATCGGAATTTTAATAAGGATATGGATTTTTTGAGAACAACATGAGGAATTTATTCTAAAAGGTTGTTTCTCTTGAACCTACTTTTTCCTCTTGAAACAAAAACTAAAACTGTCCACAATAGGGCACCATCCCCCCAATTCGAGAGACTGAATGATTTTGGGCAAAAAACGCAATAGGGTACCATCCATACTACATTAATGGCTTAACTATAAGTGGCTTAACTATGGTTTCTGGATGTTTCTGGTAGATATAACACTATAGTTAATAGGGTTTATAACCAAACTTAAAACTTGGAGACACCAACTTTTAAACTCAATGATGGGAATCCCATGATGGGAGTGCTTGACTGTATTTGGCGACGATTTATTTTTATACGGTACACGAGGTTGCCACTACTGCTCAACAACGCTGGGTAATGTTGTTCATGCACCTATTTTTGCATCCTTTAGTTTTGCTGCTTGACTGAACAGTATTCATCACAGGCTCTCGTGGTAGAGTTTCACCCGCAGATTGAACCAATAAAATACAAAATACGATGACGACGAAGAAGTGGCGCAAAGTACAGCATGCACAGCCGCGTTTTGCAAGGAAACATGTTTTGAACAGAAGGGCCTTTACAAGCCTTACAGGCAGAATGAACTTCACGTTGTTTTTTCGAATTTAGGGCCTTGTAGCCGACTGCTATGCGTTCCCATGTTGCCAAAAGTGGGCCAGAGACGCGGGCCTGCAGGAAGTGATGCTCAGTTGCCACTAGTGCGAACCGACTTGGCAAGGGCAGCACTTTTTCAGGAAATGCGAAAATTGGCGCGATAAGGGAGGTTCATAGCCCGAAAGGAATGAATTTAGATGCGCCCTATATGAAAACAACGCCTTCGTTTTGGCAGGCAAGATTTATCACTCTGATTTGTCTTCAAATGGTGGATTCTTTCCAAAATGGGGGCACCACATAAAACCATTGGAATTGGGGGCGCCATTGTTTTTTCAGGCAAATCCACGGCCATGGTCTTTTTTCTCTGTGCGTTGAGGTTTGTGAGCATTGCTTGAGATCCTATTTGCAAGGCCCGATGGGGTCGTGAACCCCTGTAGGACTTTAGGAATTAGGAATTGGCCATGGTTTGGCATCTGGATTGCTCATCCATTGTTTTTCAATTATTATAGCACCCTAAACGAAACATTCGTGAAATGTATTGGGCCCATTCATGCCTCGACTTCCACGAAATCCGGTAAACAACAGAATGAGGTTGTTTGTTTCATTTATAGTTCACTAGGGTTTACGATTAGGTACATCAAACTAGTTAACGGTTAACGGGGTATATCGGTACATACCAACAAACAAAAATACACTGGAGCCCCGTCGTTCGCTAAATTGGCTTATAACCAGGTTCAGGTTTTCCGTGAACTATTTTTATTTGGTAGGTATAACACTGACATAACTATAGTTCCAGGGATTTATAAACCAACAAATATCAATGGTGGGCCCACCTTGTAACTGGGGGCACCGCGGGCACCACTTTTTCTTTTGCTGGCCATGTTCAACTCCAAACGTCGGGGACGTCGGGGGCCGGGGCTTAGTTTTGTTGAAAGGCCGCATTGAGGAGCGACGTGTCAAGCAGTTGCAATGCCCCCTCTATGGTCGTGAGGGTTGCGTTGCAGAGATTAGAACCTTGGTGTTGCAGCGCGTGGCAAGAGTTTTTGGACTGAGATGGGGATACCATGTTTGATTACAACAAAAAACATCAGGTTACGACATGGCCCATGGGATATTTTACAGATATTTCATGTTCTATGGGATATTATAGGGGGTATTTCGCATATTAAGGGATATTGTAGGGATGTTTCCTAGAGTATGGGACATCATAGGGATGTTCAATGTTTCACACACATATCTCTTATATTATTGGATGCTATAGGGATACTTCATCAGAATCAGGGGGTATACAACCAATGATGATATGATTGGATGTGATTTGTGGAATTTGTATGAATTTGTGGCTTCAATTTTTTATAGTCCATCCTACTTGACATGATGGTCACCAGAAATTTTTGACGTTTTGACACTAGTAAAGGTTTAGTGTATAACAACGTGGTGCGTCAGTTATACGTTGTTTCTTTCCCCGCCAAGTATAGTGGTCTGTGCCATAACCAACCCGTAGTTCTGCTACTTCTGAACTTGTGCAAATTGAGATTTCACTAACAGATGCTCATCAAATTTATTTCCACACAATTTCTATGTTCAAGTTGAGGTTCCCCAATGGTGACTTGGTTGTGCCAAACTTGTTCCAACCGGGTGATCCTGAAGTTCCTAGATTCGTGGTGATTAGGTAAATGGTTGACACATGGCGTGACTTCCAAAGAGTCAAAGCGTCACTTTAGGACCCTGTCATCATTTCAACATTTCAAACGTTCCTTTCAACACAGATGCCAGCAGGACTACTATTTAAGCAGACGATGAAAGTGACTAAACAGCGTGGAGTGGTTCCTAATTGAGTTCAGCGGACAAAGACAGCAGTTAAAGCAAAAAGTAGGTACCCACATCCAAAACCACATGGATCTGGGTCAAAATTGTCATACCCAAAAACGGGATGGTTTTACTACATTCCATCCTAAGAAAAAATGTGGAAAATCCACCATGAATGTAGATCATTCTCCTAGCAGGAAACCATGGATTTTCCACATCTATGTTAGTTTACCCTAGGGCCTAGGGTAAATCCATTTTTTGGTGGTTCAACCACGTTCAATCTCCATTTTGATTTTTAATTGGTGAACATCCCATAAGCACATTCCATTTTGGTCAGTTTACCTTGGGGTATACAGGTCCTTGGTGTTGAACCGAGGACCTGAGGATTTGCAAGTTCTGCCCGAGGCTACTGCCTGGGATGGGTGAAGTTCCAGGGAAGGATGCCAGCTTTGTTTGTTGGTGTACAAGCCATATAGGAAACCATAGGGAGAATGGTGATTTAGCCAACATAAATAAATGTTAGCATAGTGGGATACCCTCTGGTAATTTAACGTAGCTATGGAAAATCACCGTTTTTAATGGGAAAACTCACTATAAATCACCATTTTCAATAGCTATGTTAAATTACCAGAGGGTAACATCTAGACAAATTATAACGACCTCACGTCGTGACCTCATGGATAGTAAGTGTTAGTCAGGGGAACAAACCCACTAGAGCAATGGCATAGCCTTATTTCAAGTCTTGACGGGGCTGCAGTCAGGTCAGTGAATTGTTATAGTTTGCCCGGATGGAATTTACGGGACAATCATTGTTCTGAAACGGAAGAATGGAATATATATATATATATATTTTTGGGCTAAATTGCCGGATATAAATACATGTTTAAAGTATCTAAGATATTATAAGTATATATAAATATTACATGAACAGTCATTTATAAATAGATAAATCAATAAATATGTGTATATATATATGTGCATATGGGCATAGATTAGTTTAGAAACCTATCTAATTACTGATTAGATATTTTACACCAACATCGCAGTTACCAGAGTCACCAAATCTTGGGGGCCCTGGAGCAATTCCCGTTGAAGCACCGGTGTATTGAATTCCATTTAGAACAATTACTTACTGCGCTGGTGTTCCTACCAGGTTTGATTACCAGAAGCTAGTCCCAGCCATGTGCAGTTGACACTGTTCCCTTCTCTTTGCTGGGGAAATGTTGAGCGTATTTTGTGTGGTGCAAAAGTGCAATCCCACTGGTGCAAAAGTACCATCCCACTCAAATCGTGATCAATACTGTTCTACAGTTATGGCCCTTTAACAGTTGTAAGCATTTATAATCCCATTTATAGCCCCATTTATAGAATATACAATCCCATTTATAACCAGTTATATCTGATAAATGGCCATAACTGTATCTCTTTAATCTATTTGGGGATTACTACAATGGTCACTACACTAGTTAAACTCCCAAGAAAAATTGGTGCTTAGTTCGAGGAAATGAATCAAACCCTTCACAGGTTGGATTCATTTTAAACTAGCCGCTTCCAGGCAACCTTGCACAAATATCATCGTTGCTGGGCCAGAACAAAATTTGGCCTTGGGCCAAAGATGCAGCACCAACGCACCCACCAAAGGCTAGTTTTCAATAAAGTTTTTCTACGGGATCAATATATATATATATACACATATATATATATATGTGTGTATATATATATATATATGTATGTGTATATATATATATAAATGTGTGCTTTTTTTTTACGATACAAATGCTAGTCATGTCTACAACTAATAACTTTTGGGTGGTGCTTAAAATGTTGACCCGTAATCAAATCATCTACCAGTAGTACCGCACAAGGCGGTGGCGGAAGTTTCAAAGATAGAAAACTATAGGAGAGGTGAGTTATGATGCATGGATGGCAGAGCGAACCCATTGATGGACCGAAACGTGGTTGTGATTTTTAGAGTGGTTGCAATGGTCACCTCACCCACAACTACAGGATGTAGTGTGGTGTAGCGAAGTGCAATGTAATTGCAGTTGTAATGGTAGTGGCAGTTGTACTTGTAGAGTAGTTGTCGTTGCAGTTGTAGTGTAGCTGATTTTGTTGAAGTTGCAATTCTGTAGTTGTAATTGTACTTGTTGTAGTGTAGCTGAAGTTGTACTTGTAGTGGGTGTAGGAGATGTATTTGTAGCCGTAGCTGTAGTTGTAGTTTGGTGGTAATTTTTGTTGTAGTGTAGCTGAAGTTGTAGTTGGAGTTGTAGTTCTAGTTGTGGTGTAGTTTACTGGCAGAGGTAGTTGCAGTTGTAGTTGTGGTGTAGTGGTAGTTGTAGCTGTGGCTGTAGTTGTAGTTGTAGCTGAAGTCTAGTGTAGTGCAGTGGTAGTTGTAGTGTTGTTGTTGTTTGTTGTAGTTGCAGTGTAATTGTAGTGTAGTTGAAGTTGTTGTAGTTGTAGCTGCAGCTGTAGTGCAGCTGTAGTTTTTATAGTTGTTGACGTGCTGTAGTTGCTGTAGTTGTTGTAGTTAGTTGCTGTAGTTGTAGTGAGGTGTTGTGGTATTTGTTGTTGTAGTGTAGTAGTTGTTGTAGTTGTTATAGTTCCTTAGTTGTAGTTGAAGTGTCGTTGAAGTTGTAGCTGCAGCTGTTGTAGTTGAAGTTGTAGTTGTAGTGTAGCCGAAGCGTACTTGAAGTTGTAGTTGTAGTTGTAGTGTAGCCGAAGTGTAGTTGAAGTTGTAGCTGTGTTGTACTTGTAGTTGTAGTTGTAATGGTAGTTGTAGTTGTAGCGTAGTTGCAGGTGTGAATCTTTCTGTCTATCTATATATGTGTATCTATTTGCCTATCTAGCCATTTTTCTGTATCCAGCTATCTATCTATTTATCCATCCATCCATCCATCCATCCATCCACCTATCTATCTATATATCTATCTATCTTTCTTTCTACCTATCCACCTATCTATCTATCTACCTACCTACCTATCTATCTATCTAAATATTATCTAATCTATCTTTTGATCTATGTATCTATCTTTCTATCTATCTACCTATCTATCTATCTATCTAAATCTAATCTAATCTAATCTAATCTAATCTCTAATCTGATCTAATCTAATCTCTAATCTAATCTAATCTAGTCCAATCTAATCTAATCTAGCCTAATCTAGTCTAACCTAACCTAATCTAATCTAATATATCTAATCTAATCTAATCTAATCTAATCTTGATCTAATCTAACCTAATCTAATCTAATCTATCTAATCTATCTTTCTTTCTATTTATCTATCTATCTATCCATCTATCTATCTATCTATCTATCCATCTATCCATCTATCCATCTATCCATCTATCTTATCTAATCTAACCTAACCTGACCTAATCTAATCTAATCTAATCTAATCTATCTATCTAATCTAATCTAATCTAATCTTAATCTTATCTTAATCTAATCTAATCTAACCTAATCTAATCTAATCTAATCTAATCTATCTATCATTCTATCAATCCATCTATCTATCTATTTATCTATCTATCTATCTATCTGCAAGCTTGAAAATGCAACATTCTGCGAGACATCCTCAAGTTTTGATTTTGACAACATCAGAAACGAAGCAATCCTGCGAGACTTCCTCAATTTCCCAGTTGACAACATCAAAAACGAAGCAATTCTGCGAGACATCCTTCAAAAATGGAAAGTTGAGTGCAGAGCTGACGGCCTTGTGCCACTGCGTTTTGCGATTTTTTCATTCCACCTGTCTAAAGTACCGCGCCTGCCCGGAAAAAGGGCGGCGAGGTCATACGAAGTGCTGCGCCTGTCACGCAAAATCATCTTAGCAAACCTGAAGATCTGATGCTCCAAAGTGCACAACCCCTCTCAGGAAATCAGCGCCCTGACCTGACCTCCCATCATCTCTGATGAACATGTCTCTAGTACTGCGCCTGCCACGCGAGATGCATCTTTGCAGATCCTCTGCAAATGCCCCACGCCTGCCATCATTTTAGAAAATGCTACAAAACCTTCACGTTTTGCCCACTTTTGACACTGTGCATAATCCCTTGCGCTTGCAACGCAAAACGGCATCTGAACGTCCAAAAGTGCTCCGAATCCGTCAGTTTTTTACACTTTTGACTTCCAAATGTGCTTCGCGCCACAACGCCGTGCACTTTTTCGAAATCTCAACTTCCAAAAGTGTTCCGGGCATCCTGTGCTTTGTACATTTTAACTTCGAAATGTGCTTCGCGCCACACCGGCGTGCACTTTTCATCATCTCAACTTCCAAAAGTGGTCTGAAAACGTCAGTTTTTTACATTTTTTCCTTCCAAATGTGCTTCGTGCCACAACGGCGTGCACTTTTTCAACATCTCAACTTCCAAAAGTGCTCCCAATCTGTTGTGTTTTGCACATTTTGACTTCGAAATGTGCTTCGCGCCACAACGGGGTGCAATTTTTCTCTCATCTGGCCAGGTGGCTCCACCCGCCGCTTTAGCGAGCCTACTTTTTGACCCTCCGGAGCCACAAACCATTGGAAAACATAGTGTTTCGCGACTTTGCTACCTTTTCGCGCACCTGCATCTTCTGTCTTCTGTCTCTTTCTCTTCTCTGATCTTCTTTCTTCTTCTCTTCTTTTCTCTTCTCTTCTCTGACGCTTCCCACCTCTGCTTTTTCATCTGTCCATATTGTCGGAAGTTTGACTTCGAAACTTCCTTCGGCAAACACATATAAGTGAATTTAGTTTCCATCGCGTTGTTTTCCAGAGTTGCACCCGCCGTCTGATTCCAATGTGAACAGGTAGCTGCTTCTTGAAAAGCGGTTGTTTTGTTGATTTTTTGGCAGGGTCAAGTCACCTGGATGGATTGTAGCCTGATACAATTACACTTAGATGTTCAGTTTTTTGGGGTGATTGGTCTACCATTTTTCCCGTCAAGTCACCCCATCACATCCCATCACGTTTCACCAATTTCAGTGTTGATTCGCTAAGGCTTCTTGGATAGGACGTCTAGTCTAGTACTTCTGGCAATGACACATTGACAAATGGCAAAAAACGCGTTTGTGGAGCCTTACGCGTTGGGAAACTGTATCAACCAAGTTATGATCATTAATTTTAAGTTTGTTCATGCCCGATTTGGTCGATGATTGGTTAATTGCATGCCCCAACATGGTTGCGTGATGTTGTGTGCATCTCGGTACTCAGTATGGCGGTATGGTATAGTAAAGTCACCAGTTTGGTGAGTGAAATCATGTTATTTCTCAACGGAATGTTTTTTTTTTAAATATCACCATCACGTGGCAAACCCTGGATGGGTATGTTGATATTCGCATATTTTCTTCCAAAAAACATGTTTTGAATTGTTTTGACACAATTCGACCTAGCCAGTGGATGCCAAAAACAAAAAAGGCAAGGGATCTAAGATTGACCAGCGTTGGCCATGCCGAGGTTTTAAGGCGATGGAGGAGGACCGCCACAGCAAAATCGCGAACGTTGGTTGAAGTATGTTGAAATCGCTAAAGCTAAACTCTATGGTCTATAGTTCAAAATTAATTTCATGGTGATGGCGATGAGGAGAAAATTCATTAAATCTGCAATCCACTATACCGTAGTTGGAAGACACATGTTTTAAACATGTTCAAACTAGCTAAGTTCTATGGTTTGGATTGTTCGTTTAACAATCCAAACGCTGCAGTGGCTTGCCATGCCGCCATGCCCCACCTTGATATAAGGATCCCACTCTGCGCGAGTGTCCGGAATGCCTAGAGTTGGTGAAACCGCAACTGCAACGGGAGACCCGGCAGAGCTTACCCGGTGGGTTGGGCCACTGTTCAGGTACCGGGGATCGTTCTGGATCTGGGATTTTTGTTAAAACCCTTAGATACATCTGGGTAAATCACATATATGTATATATATATATATATTGAATTTAGAACGACCTCTCTGAGACTTCACTGGAATGATGGTTAGTAAGGGAAATCATCCCCAATGGCCTTAAGTCAGATGAGCTTTTTTTTTGGCCCAGATACATGGTGAGAAGAACCAAAGATCATTCGAAAGTACAGTAAACACAAACTACTTGCCCTAAGTTTTGGGTTTCAATCATCAAATTTCCCGTGAAAATTACCATTTGGAGGGTATCCAACTGTTTTCAGGTACCAAACAATACCAAACCCATATTGGAGCCCTCCGTTGGCTTAGAAAACACCATTGACTCGATACATCTACAATAAACCATAGTTCACCTAGTGTTTCCCAACTGAGCTAGGTACAACGGAACCGTTAGATAAGAACCGATTCAGAATTTTCCGGGCTACCCTGGGGTTCTTAAGTCTTAAGTGCTATAGGTGGAAAACATGGGAATTATGAACAAGGGTACCCTCAAGTTCTTCACGGGTTAGTTCTGACGGGTTTATATGGTTAGGGTTTTGCCAATTCATTTTGACGTGGTATTAGGTTGCAAAGGAGTATTGGGAAGGAAAAAAAAATAGGCCTCGATTTTTTTTTTTGGTGCAGGCATTCCAAACAGAGCTATAGACCATAGGCCAGATTTTCCACCATGCTAGGGTTTGAAAGTTTATTTTGGCGTGGTATTAGGTTGCAAAGGAGGTGCAGGTGGGAGGAAGAAAAAAAGTTTTTAGGCACCTTTTTCTTAAAGGGCCTAATAGGGCCAAATTTAGGGGCCCGAAACAAGGCAGCACAGGCAAGACAAGCCAAGACAAACCAAACACAAATCAAGGGCAGCATGTGAAGTCAGATGGCCTCTAGTGAATCCGGCTCGTGTCGGGCTTAGGCTGTTGCGTTCAGACTTGCTAGAGGTATTGGGGTTCGACTTCCTGTGGCGCTGGCGATTTGCTTGCTTCTTGCATGCTTCTTGCGTGCTTGCTTTTTTTTTTCACATATATCAATAATCAATGTTTGGTGTATTGGTACCCGTTAAAGGGGAAAAAACAAGTGGCTAGAATCCCGGGATACCCTAAAATTCTTGTTTCAATTAGCTGACAGAAAGGGTTGAATCCAGCAATCCAGCCCTGAAGTTCTTATTGCGGTAGGTTCTTGAATGCTGTTTTCACTGTATCCTACTCTTTCCTAGTTCAATCTATGGACATCACCTGGTACAGTTATGGCCCAAAATTACCAGTTATAAGTACTAACAAAACACCGTTTATAGAATGTATAATCCCATAGAAATCACCAGTTGCAACCATCATTAATCACTAATAGCCACTATGAAAACCATTATTAACCACTATTAATCACCATTTATCACCGGTCATAACTCATAGCCATGGCCATGACCGTAGGGACAACTAACAGGTTTCCAGCCCGAAGTTCGGCTAGCTCAGGATGTAGAAGCGGAGGTCCTGGCGATTGAAGCCACGATGTGCTGCAGCCAGGGGCACCGATTTTGTGCCTCGATACAAATTGGCAATTTCACCAACCGTAGATTCCCCAAATGGTAGATTGTAATGGGAAAATAACCCAGAATCATGGTGATAAATGGTGGGTTTCAGCAACGATAATGACGATCATGTGGATATTTTGCATGGGAATTAATGGGAATATCATGGGTTTATAACCAACAATATTTGCTGCCGGTGATTTTTTGTATTATCCAAATTTTTATGCACCATTTGGGGAATCTACTGGGATTTTTTTTTGGCGGGATCTTAAGCAGATCCAAGTACTTGGGGGCCTACTGACCCCTTGAAAAGGTTTTGAAGCTGATCAGTTTCATTGTTGACCCATCGAGCTATAGATATATAATTAGGTGTATATATATATAGAAAATCATATGGGAGTTTGGATGGAATATGTGGTTTATGTTAGTTTATAAATCTAACCAGTTTCAAACCATATGTAGCCCACATGCTCCAAACGTAGCGAAATGCCACCATCCCAGAAACCATGGTGACATGGCCAGCCTGAGTAAACTGGCCTTGGCCAACTGAAGATCTAAACGAATCTGGTTGCTGGTACGAGGTGGTACACCTAGGTCATAGTTGGTGAACCAATAACCAATATAGTATGGTTGGAGATATATCGAACTACTGAATGGGGGTTATAACCAACAAACACAGATGGTGTGAGTGGGGTGCACTACATTGTAATGAATCATAAACCGATCATATCCCCATGATATTCTGGTTGGTGGTTTTGAACAGTTTTTTATTTTTCCATATATTGGGAATGTCATCATCCCAACTGACTCATATTTTTCAGAGGGGTAGGGGTTGAAACCACCAACCAGTAACCAGCCATGATATTCCATGATCCCCATGATATTCCCATCATATCCCAGCCACTTCATGGATTCCCCTTCTGTCACCCTGGCCTGACAGCGAGGTTACTATCACTCCAATGCTCATCCCATTGGTGGCTCGCGCAGATTTTTTTTTTGGTGCTTCACTGGGATAAATGTAGCAATTTTACCCTCTGGTAATTTAACATAGCTATTGAAAATGACCATTTATAGTGGATTTTCCCATTTGAAATTGTGATTTTCCATAGTTATGTGTACCAGAGGGTAAATAATGCTTGGTGGTTTGGAACATCATTTTTATGACGTTCCATTCAGTTGGGAATTTCATCATCCCAACTGACGAACACTCATGTTTTTTCAGAGGGGTTGGTAGGGGTTGGTTTACCACCAACCAGAATAGTGCTATAGCCTATGGGTTTATAAAGTCCCCGATTATGATAGCTTGTGATGTATTGAGAAGGCTAGTTACATATGGCCGGCTGGGAAATCCCCGAATTCAATGGGTTTTTGCCATGAACTAAGTGGGAGATGATCGGATTTTCCAGTGCAATGTTTCATTACCAGAGGATGAATTTTGCCCATGGGCACTCCCCTGACCCTTTCTTCCGAGAATCAGCAGCTGTTCAAAACGCTGATTGAGTGTTGAATTTGCTTCTTGCCGAAGCCTTTTGCGGGATTGGTTCTTTGTTATACTATAACGCTGCACATTTGTTGTTTAAATCACTGTTGAATTGTTATTGGTAAAAGTCCCATTTCAGTGAAGCATCGCCATGAAGCCCTGAACATCTTGCCGCTATGAACTGAGAAAAAGGACATGTCAATCCTAAATCTTTGGATCCATCTGGATCCTGTGACATGTTCCGTTTTTTCATGTGAATCCCCTCCGTAAATCCATTGCACCCTCCAAAGCTTCATATGTGAAAATTTGGGCCTGACTGAAGCCCTTTAGAGCATTGACATTATATTCTGGTTGGCGGTTTGGAACCTGGTTTTTTTCTCCCATATATTGGGAATGTCATCATCCCAACTGACTCATATTTTTCAGTTGGGTAGGCTCAACCACCAACCAGTATAATACTTGTTTTTATTGGTTGAAAACCATGTTCTTGTTGCCTTTTCTTTTTATGTTGCTGAAAAATCACTGCCTTTCTTGCTTCAACATGGGCTGGCTCATGGGCTTTGATACCGCCTCTGCACCCCGATGATCAAATCGGTATAGCTCCCCAACTTTAATTTCCCAACTTTCTCTGAACATCAAAATCCCCCAACAAGGTTTGATGTCCATATCAATAGATTAGTAAGCTATAGATTATACTAAACCAGATTAGTAATTAGAATGTGTTCTCTTCATCCAGATTTTAGTAACCCCTATAGATTAAATAATCCTGAGTACAGTTACCCTATTGATTAATAACATGTAATAAGCCCTTAGTAATCCCTATAGATTCATAACCCCTCCCCCTAAACCTTCCACCGGTGAAGACGGGCGAAGCGTTAGGAGATGGTTTCTGCGAGGAGTACTCCAAGCGTGAAACTGCCGAAGCGAGGGAGGCGATGAAATCGCAGGGCGCTAAGGAGTGCCCCCGCTGACGCTCGGAAGGGGAAAAATGGTGGGATTTTGGGCCTAGAGTTATGGCAATTTGATTAGTTAAACTGGTTATTTCTATGGGATTAATGATTCTATCAATGGGAAGAAAAGTACTTATAACTAGTCTTTCGGACAATTTTTCTGTAGAAATGTAGGTCTATGGCTGGGAAATTCTTGGATTCCATGGGAAGGTATTGGGAAATCCACTTGCAATGGAGGTTTATAGCTGGGAAAATCATGGGAAGGTATGGGAAATGATGGGAAAATCCACTATAAATAGGAGAAATTAGTCCAGGGTTAGGAGATACCCAAGCTTATTCTTGTTTAACATCTACACCTATGGTTATACAAGCAGCTTTTCTTGGATTTGTCCATCGTTCTGGATACATAGATTTTGATTGAAACAGGAAACTTATAGACATATCCAGAATTAGCCCATTGACAACTGGCCGGTGATTTGGAACATGACTTTGATTTTCCCCAATCGTTGGGATGATGACCCAATCTGACGAACTCATATTTTTCAGGGGGGTAGGTATACCACCAATTAGATTATTCTTAACCATCATTAACCATATAATAACCATTCAGATTAACAATTATCAACAATTAATTATAGTTAACCATTAATTATTTAGTTAATGGGACAATTGATTGAAATTATCGCAAACCATCACCATCCCCGGGATGATTTTTTTCATGAATCACATGGGGTATTGCATCACATTGGGCATCAACGTATTAGGCCCCATGTAATAAGGGGATACTAAGATGGTATTAATGAGTATTAAGTCGTTTCTTTGAGAGGGATCTCGCAGGGTTAGTTGGAGAAAGGGAAAAAATATGATTCGGAGGGGTAAGTTAAGTGGTTGATAAACATGGTTGTATATATATATATATGGTAATATGTTGGTGATATGGTGATTTTATTGGCTATAACATAGCTATGTAACAAATAACCAGAAGGTAGTTTGGTCAGAGTGGATTTAAGTAGAGTGAAGCGCTTTCACTATAGGGATTTATGGATGACACTCTTGATGTGATTCTGATATATCATGATGTATCACGAACCTTAACAGGAATTTTTGCCTATGAACACTGAGAATCCCGAGCAATGGGAGGGATTAATATCCAACATCAAGAGCAGGTCTTCCTCGTGAAATATTTGCCATGACATTCCACTTACCATTTGGTTATTTAACGTAGCTATGGAAAATTGCCCATTTATAGCTGACTTATGAGGATTTACCTATTAAACATGATGATTTTCCATGGCTATGTTAGTCATACCCAGATGGTACCATGTCCAGTGTGAGAATTATGTTCCAGACCCTTTTTGTGTGGAGAAAATCATATTCGACACCACCTTTTTTTGGTGGACTTTGAAGGCAAGATCATCTACCACACCCAGAAATGGACGTTTCCTAACATGGGGGTACCCAAAAATGGACGCTTTAGAATCATGGGGGTACCCCCATGACTTAGGAAAGCTCCATTTCTGGATGACTCGGGGCACCTTGAGGTCAAACTCAGATCTTGAAGCATGACGGCTGCAATCACATGGTGTGCCCCTCGCCTGGCGGATCCAACCACGGTTCCAGTGGATAGGAAGGTCAAATATCAAGATACTTTTCAAAGCAAACTTGACAATGAAATGTCATTGATATGTATATATATATACACGGTACACACACACATATTTGTATATATATATATATAGATATGTAGTTCTATGATATTATATGAATGTGTTTATATACACATATCGGCAGGATGATGATTTTGTTATTTTTTTGTTTGGCATTTTCGGAACTGCCATGCATTTGTTGGGATGTTTTTTTTGGTTCCGGGTCCTTCATTGTAGCTGCCATCTCTAGGGGTTGGTGCCTCGTCCTTGCACGCGAAGATTCTCTAGTTACTAGAGTTGACAGTTATATTATATCTGGGTTGATTTACATTGATTTGTTTGATTGTACTTTCTTCTACTTTGTATAGGTGATGACAGATTGTGAGATTCTGTCATTCTGTACTGGTTCAGTGCACTTAAGACCTCTGAGGTATTTCTTGAACTGTAAGAAATGCAATACAATCATGTGTGCGCAGACGAGTCAGTTTTGTGTGTGCAGATGAGCATTCTACCTCTCTAAGTTAGACCCCTGGATGAATCAGCCTCTAGTCTAGGCTGTTTGATTAGGGTAGGTACCATTGAAGTATCACATTATCACTATTTGGGGAGTAGCCCAAAGATTAATAAACCATGGTTGATCATAAAGCTTTCAATCCCCTTCAATCTCCATTTTTGTTGGTTAAGTCATCATTTTCCGATGCTTTTCCTATGGTTTCCCTATCTTTTTCATTGTTCAACCAACATGTTCCCCAGTGGCTTTCCCAGGGGTTTTTCCGGGCTTCGCCTCAACTCATTTTCCAAGGCGTGGCGTGCCAGTGTCACTGGCACCTTGGTGTTATCGAACGGCCTCTGGTAAACTAAGAGTTTGCTATTGAAAAAATGGCCATAGAAATCGTTGATTTACCCAGCTATAACATATTTGAACATTGTGATAGTTGTATGTTAGTTTACCAGAGGGTACATGGAGATCTAATCAATGCAAAAGTAAGATACTAGCTGGGTCAACCTTGGACAGGGGCTTATCCTTTGGACTGTAAATGGGGATGTGTACTAATGAGCTATACACAGGTTGTTGCATGGTATCTATGCTTGGCCTTGGTAGGATTTTGATTTATATATATACATATGTGTATATATATATATGTATATATATATTTGTGCGTGTTCAGTATTTAGGCCATGCTATATTCAGCGATAACTATAATTATAATCGTTCTTAGTTTGAGTATCACCATTTGCCTTATATATCCCTTTATGTATTATTTTAGCAACCCCGAGAAGATAGAAACAGTAATTTGCTACTATTTTGGTAGGCTGATATTTATTCTACTGTATTTTCTTTGGGGTTGCTTCACACAGATTTGTACAAGTTATCCCTATTTATTCCCTATTACTAGTGAAGAAGACGATGATGGTGATGGTGGTGATGATCCTCAATATCATACTTATTATCATTATCACTATCATACATTGTCATTATTTTCAGCATTACTAGCATTGCCTTATGAATAAATAGGTTTTTTATTAGCCTGATTATTATCAAGACTTTCTATTCATATATTTGTTTATTGCATTTATAAAACATGTATACTCTATATGTAATGACTATATGACCGTTACTCTTGCTACCAACTTATGCGCATATATATACATATATGAACATATATACAGGTAAGTTACAACGACCGGACTGTTCTCCCTCACTGGAATGTTAGTAAGGGGAAGTATCCCCAAATCACCTTATTTCAGCTTAGTGCATTATTGTTATTTTCATTTGCCCAGATATCCCCTCTATAGTTTTTGGACATAGACATTTGTAGCATGGACCATTTATAGACGATAAAAAAGGTTTATTCCCGATGACAACATGGTGATTTTGACCATAGCTATGTTAAATAACCAGAGAGTAGCAAATGTTCCCTTAAAACAACCCATTGAAATTCCTCTTAGTTCCCCCCATGTATATTACATGCTTCTCTGGCCCGAAATACCAGTTTTAAGTACTTATAACCCCATTTATTGTATAGTCCCATAGAAATAACCAGTTTAACTGCCATGATTTTCCAATGGTTTTCCTATGGAAAATCACCATGCTATCTAGCTGGGTAAATCCACTATTTCTATGGCCATTTTCAATAGCTAATTCTTAGTTTACCAGAGGGTGCCACTATTGACATTAACCACTATTAATCACCATGTATCACCAGTCATAACTCATAGCCATGGCCATTTTCCGATGGTTTTCCTTTTAAAATCACCATTTCCCTATGGCTTTTCCAATAGCTTTTCCAATGGTTTCCAGGTGTTGGACCCGCGGCGCCGATCTCACGGGCCGCATGAATCTGGGCTGGCACTACAACCCGGCGAATCCCAACGGTGTCACGGCGCGCAGAACACAACGGAAGGATAGCTTGGTCCAGCTTGGGGAGTTTATGTTGTTTTACTGGTGATGTTATGGTGAGTCTATGCTGTATTACTGGTCATGTTATGGTGTCTTTAGAGTGAGATTATGATGATTTGATGTTGTTTAATTAATGAAGATTGTTGATGGAATATTCATGGGATACCAGGTATCCTGGTAATTCAACAGTTGGCTATTGAAAATCAAGATGTTTAATGGATATATCATCGAACCAAATGGGCCATTTTCCGTTGGTACCCGTTGTGGTTTGGAGGGAGTGATTCAGAGCGGTACCCATATGTTCCCAAAATTCGGGCCAAGGAGCAATGAAGAGTTTCTCAACATGACCGATACGGACAATCTTGTGTGAATTAAATGGGACTGTAAAAAAATATAACCATGTGGTGTCGCCAACAAAATCAAGATGGTGTGCTAGTAAGAATGACTAGCCAAGTTGTGGTGTCCATGTCTTGGATCTCAGAATGCTGGTGGTTGTGCTGCATCCTCGGGTGAATTTCACCTAACCAGCTCAACATGTACAGTTATGGCCATGGCTATGAGTCATAACTGGTGATTTCTATGGTGATTAATAGTGGTTAATAATGGTTTTCATAGTGGCTAATAGTGATTAAGGATGGTTGTAACTGGTGATTTCTATGGGATGATAAATTCTATACACAGGGTTTTCTTAGCAGTCTTAGCACTTATAACTGGTATATAAAGGGCCATAACTGGCCATGGAATTTTAGAATCTCCAAGATTGACCACCTGGCCTTCCGCCTGAAATCACAGAGACGGCGCTGGGAAAAGCAACAGACTAAACCAGCAAGCCATGTTTGATTAGATGGTAAATGACTATATCATTATAGTAATGATCGATCAATCATCATTTATCAATATGCATCAGTTATATCCACTTGTATCCCCATAGTTTGCTTTAAAACCACTATGGATTTCATTGATTTAACCAGCAAGGGGCAGCTGCGTCACCCAGGCTGCATGCAGTTTTCAGCCTTGGAAAAGAAGGGTTCCCAGCACCGCGGCCTATTCGGTACGTGGTTCTGATGTTATCTGGGATGTATATGTTCACTTGGTTGGTGGGAAAATCTACAGGAAACCATGCTTTTCCCCATGAAAATTTTACGGGGTTCCTGCATTTTTTCCCTTCAACCAATCCAGTGATATGTGGGAAATACCACGAATATATGGAGATAGAATGGCAATATCATAGAGGTATAGTGGGATAATATCTGATCATGAGAACCTTGTTATTTTATATACCCCAGTTGTATATGGCTTATATGGCGATTGAATGGGAAAAACGCGTCCAAATGATGAATTTCCAATGGGAAAACACGCGGGAAGATCTCTTCTGAATGGATGTTTCAATGGGAAAATAAAGGGATGTTCCCCAGCCATGTTTGGTTGCCATTTTCAGGTTGATGCCCCCACGATATCAGAATGGAGGGATATATATTCATACAATACCCCATGAGCGTTTGGCTTACCCAGTACTTAAATATAATATGTTGATGAAAGTCCACTTACCCATCAACACTCAATTCTCTATATCTATATCCCAGATTTGGTCGTCGGACAATTTCTTAGATTTCAGATTACAAGGAGTTTCGTTTTTTTTTTCCCTGATATAGACAATGTGCCGTTGAAACCTTGGAACTCCCAACTATGGCGGTGCTGTTTGCAGCCCCATGTTTGAGGGTTGCTGTAAAGCACCATCCCTATGTTCGATGATATATGATTATGATATAAGATTATGATATATGATGGATGATATATGATGATATATGATGATATTTGATGATATATGATGATATATGATGATATATGATGATATATGATGATATATGATGATATATGATGATATATGATGATATATGATGATATATGATGATATATGATGATATATGATGACATATGATGATATATGATGACATATGATGATATATGATGACATATGATATATGATATATGATATATGATATATGATGATGATGATGATGATGATGATGATGATGATGATGATGATGACATTTAAATAAATATATATATATATATATATATATATCGGTATGTTTGAATCTTGGGTACGCAAGGCCATCGTAACAGGGACAAGGGGCTTCGCAGTGATGTTTGTTCGTTCATCTACCTAGTTTGCTTCAACCATAAACCTAACAGTGTAACAGCCCAGTGAAGTCAAGTGAAATCGCCCAACTTACGAATCAATTTTTCCCCCACTTGTTTCGATCGTTTTGATGGTCACATCCGTATTTGTCATCCGTTTTTGCTCAATGTTTATTGATTCCTGCTCAAATCATCTAAAACTGCCCTATTTTCATCGATTTTCGGCTCGTTCATCCATGCCTGACCCCTGCAGCGTTTAAACCCGTGCTGTGTCTTGTTGCGGTGCCGAGGTGTCACCAGGTCCTGACGGTTGTGGCGCGGGCCATTGCGCTGCCGGGCGCCCTCCTGGGGTTTCTGATCTTTTGGACCACGCTGCCCTTGAGCCTTGGACAACTGCGGTGACTGGGGTTGCGGCTTTTTGGTGACTGGGGTACCCACTGAATTTCAAATGGGATAAGCTCAGTTAGGGGATTGAAAAATGAGAAAAATCCAAGTGGAGAACCCCCAGAAAGATATGGGAAGGGGTCAATACCTACTACTTAAACCAGCTATAACTTTGGGTACCAAGCGGGTGCCAGGGCGCCATGACTAAGACTTAGCCAATGGGATCAACAAATCACCAAATGCCAATGGGTGATTTTGTGTGGGACCTGGAGCGGGAAAAAAGACCTCACGAACAAATATAAGCCGTATATATTATATATATATACTTATATATATATACATATTCGTATTCATTTTCATTTATGTGTGTGTGTATGCGTATACACACACATATATATATAGATAGATGAATAGATAGATAGATAGATAGATAGATAGATAGATAGATAGATAGATAGATAGATAGATAGATAGATAGATAGATAGATAGATAGATAGATAGATAGATAGATAGATAGATAGAGATAGAGATAGAGATATAGATATATAGATATAGATATAGATATAGATATTTATCTATACACCAGATGTTGCAAGACCAAATCCTCCTCCCAGGTGGGCGATCTGTGGTGTGGGCGTCCTGGTGGCTCTGCTACTGCTGCTGCTGGTGGGCTGCGCCTGGTGTTCCGCCACCGTGCCCTGTGTTTGTGGCCTTTGCTGTGCCTTGGGGGCCGAAGGGCTGGTGGGGGGATGGTATATTTGAGTTGATATATTCTTACTTATCCCCAAGGTGACATCCCCAACCATAGGTTTATGACTGGGTTTCAAGACTGTAGTTCTTTGATCAATTCTCATGGTTTCTGGATTATTCAATGCTTTGGAGATAAGGAAACGGGAGACAATTTTGAACGGACAAGGTGCTTAATGGAGACTTCAGGGGGGCTCTTAATAAATGTTCACCTAAGTTTGGGGACTTTCAAGGGAGACATGTGTAACTAGACAAAATCGCTGGACATCTGGCAGGAAGTAGGGGAACACCAAGTGTTTCTACCTCCACCAGAGCATTAATTGATGACGGATGATCATGCAGACATGAAGTCCCATTCTTTCATACCCGCAGAAGCCATGGTTTAAATAGGGGGTGAAAACACACATGTGGGACGATTTAATGGGGTGTTTAATGTTGGATGGAATTACCTCGGGCCATTTCTTTCTGACGTCGGCACAGGTTTCGGTCTGAGCGACGCACAGGCGGAACTCATTTTATGCCGCCTGGTTGTGAAAGATGATGTGCGTTGGTGTTCCTTGCAAAACCAAGCTAAGTAATAGATCAGATATTTTGGCAACATTTGTTTGTTTGGTGAAATCCAAGTTGTTTGGTTGGTTTTATCATGCTTCATCCCAGTTTTTGCTGGTGATTGCTTCCTTCCTGGGGTTAAACAACTGCCAGTCACTGGGCCCAGAGATGCTTACAGCTTCCCCCCCAAAAAAATAGAACAGCAAGATGCTACAAGAGATACTTACTTACTAAAGTAATCAATGTAATCCCCCGCATCTCAATCCACATATAATTATACAATATGTATATATATATATAATTATATTTAATTATGTATAATTATATATAATAATATATAATTATAAAATAATATATAATAATATATTTATAGATATGTTTTTCCCCAATTGATGGTCCCTGTTTTTTTTTGGCGTTTTGATCCCCCTACATCCATCGTGGGGGCCCGTGGGGGGTCTGGGAGTTGAGGTGCGCCGTGCCATTCATGTTGGGCCTCAGTGGAGTGTTTGTTGGGCGGCTTGGCCCCTGAAGAGGTGTGACAGCCGCCCGCGCGCGCGTACCGGGCTAGCGCAGCCGTCCGGCAGTCGTTGCTGAGGTGTTTTTTGGGGTTTTTGGAAGTTACCCTCTGGTAATTTGTTACATAGCTATTGAAAATGGTGATTTATAGTGGATTTTCCCATTGAAAATCGTGATTTTCCATAGCTATGTTAGTTTACCAGAGGGTAACATGTATAGAAAGATATGCCATTTAGAAACTAGAATATAGGATTTGAGCATTTGAAAGCAACAAAATTGGTGCCTGGAACAAAATGTGTTGTATGACATCATGATCGACCATTGTGAAACAATATGGGTGGTTTCACCCAGAAAAGCTCCTGAAACATACTGAGACTGAGTAACTAATGATATATCCAACAAACACTTGGGGTTTACAGTGGCCAGTTTGTAGCTTTTATCCAACAAGCATGGTACTTAGATATCAATGAACAGGAGGAGATCTCCTCAGAAAATGTTGACCGATGCCTCCAACCATCAGTTTACCGTTGAAAGATTCGTGACGCACAGAGATTTCGTGGAATCATGTGGAATCAGCCTGCAGATAAATCGTCACTTTGATGGTGTATTGACCTCTTCACCCCACAAAAAAATGCCTCCCGAAAAGGCATGAGTTTAGTATTGGGATCCACTTGTTGGATCCCACCTTTGGGTTCTTTTGTGGAGGGGGATTGCATTACCAGATGTGTTCATTGGTCACCAAGCCAATCAAGCCGGCCGGTTCGCAAGCTGAAAGTTTGGGGATGAGTCGGATTCACAGCTTGGAACGTTCACCTTCACCCCAAGCCGTCTTCTAAAAGCCATTCCGAATGTGCGCCAAATTTCTTGACCCAGACCCATCTTTCGCAGAAATTCGTTCGCTTGGCAAAGCCAAGCCGCAAGTTACAATCTTCGCAAAGCTTAGGCCCGGACCCTGGGCCTAGGGGTGCATGACCTTGCAGTCCTGTCGCAACATGGCCCCTGAATTGTAAATTTGTGCCTGAAAACTCCGAAAACTGACATGTGGCCAACTTTACCATCTGCTAATTTGATAATTTGCAATAGAAGTTGTCCATTTTCATAATAGCTATATTAAATTACCAGATGGTATGCCTTTCCAGGATTTTCCATGAAGAAAGGGCAGCCATGGTGTTTTTTTCCCTATTTTGTCCTTAATCTTTCAACAGAGAAGCGACATGCCACAAACACTCAAGCGACATCCCGGAAAAAGGACGCCCACACGGGAAGCCGTGGAATGGCAGGAGGTGGTGCCCCAGTCCGTTAAGTTGGTTGTTTATGGTATATATATGTAATTATTTATATATATATTATAAAAACTATAGTTGATGGAGTTGTAAACTGATTCAAAAAGAACGGCACTTTGTAGGGAGTACTGGAACATACTGGAACATACTGGAAGATTTTGGTGGAGGGATTATTATTCATACATGGCATATTTCTTGGATAAACTATAACCTATAACTCTCTGAATGGCCCTCAGAGGGACAGAATCTACGGCCAGGTGACCTTGGAACGCGCGCAGTGGTTGGAAGACGGAGGTTTGTTGGAATCCGATTCCAGTTCCAAGGTGCGAGCTGGTGGTGAAATGGTGCCACAAGGTGGCGAAATGGTTTATTAACATCATCTTACCCTCTAGTAAACTAACATAGCTATGACTATGGAAAATCAGCATTTTTAATGGGAAAATCCGCTATACATGGCCATTTTCAATAGCTATGTAAGTCATAACCAGAGGGTTAAGTATCCTAAATTACTACAAGGTGGGACCCCAAAGTTAGCTAATTTGGTCGAAACCATTATGATAACTATGGCGATTTAATCCCATTCCCCTTATGTGTTTTCATCCCCCACTAAACCATGGTTTCTGGGGGGTGTTTAGTATAAGGGGGATAGGATTAGTTATAACTATAACTATAGTTGGATAGGTTTATAAACCAACAAACATCACTGGGGGCCCCAGCTTGCAGTTCGTGGATGTCCTTCTCCCGGCTGGTTGGTTAGTAGAGGGTTCTCCCCACTCAACAACCAATAGGTAGATGATTGACAAAAAAACACAAAATATATAAACTAGTTGTCCAAACCTTTCTAAAGGGACAAAAGGTTGCCCCAGTGAGCGACATGGCTAAGTTGGTTCACTATTAATATAGTGGTTTATGATGTTATGTAACCCGGATTAGTAAGCCCCTGAACCTTTTTAGTCGAGGAATGCCATTCAAACAATTTGTAAGTACCACAGTTTTCCAAAAAACATGGGCGAACTCGCTTTCTGTAATCAATCGGTGTTTGACAATATCCTGGATTGACATGATCAATAGTTTGACTATAGTTACTACCCTTTTGTCACTAACTATAGTTACTAACTTCAGTACTCAACCACTATTAAAGGAACAACATTTGACTATAGAAAAACTAACCTTTTGTCACTTGCCTTTCCAAGTTATCACAATCCAGTTGCGAACTGGGATGATCCACCCCAAAAATGAGGAGAGAGAGTGTTGTTTTTGAGGTGATTTATGATCGCATTCACTTGGTTATGGTGGGTAAATCTACAGTTGGATAAGTTTGTAAACCATTTTAAAATTGGGAGGCCTTACTCTCCAAACAGCTTCTTAATTGCCACTTGAATGGGTAAAACACATGACCAATCTTGGTTGGTAAGCAGCTTTGATATATTTTGTATATGTCAACTAGTAACAGCCTAGCAACTTCACCTGAATGTTATGTTAGAAGTCAGTTGGGACTTAAGGGTTTTTAGATACTCAGTAGGATGATGTTTGGGACGGGAAGGATGTCACAGTGAGGATCGTCCCAGTGAACCAACTGACGATGGCATGAAATCTAAACAAAATGAAGAGTCAAACATACATTTCTACACCCAGAATAATGTGACTCGAAGATTTCAAAATACAGTATAATTATATATATATATACATATTATTTATTTATTTATATATATATATATAATAAATATTCATGATTTCAATGGGTCAAAATCAAATTCAGATTTTCTCTTCTCGGCTCAAAACCTGCCCCTGTCAGGCAAAGTCGGAAATCAGGACTGCTGGGCCCCGTGCCGGGCGTCAGGTTTCTGAGCCCCCAACTTGTTGCTTTTTTGGGGAGCGATTCGGAGCGAGCGGGGCAGCCATATTCCCAGTCAGATTCCCTGAATTTAGCACCAGTTGGAGCTACAAAATGTGAGTTTCCCCACCACTTGATAGATACCCTTTAACATAGCCACGGAAAATTGTTGATTTTCCCATTAAAACCGCCATTTATAAGGGATTTTCCATAGCTATGTTAGATAACCAGATGGTATGTTTTGCTACGTTTTGCATGTATGATTTCCGTGTCGTGCAGATTTCGGACTCGACCGCCTTGAAATTGTGTACATTGGGTCAAGTGGGGGTGCAGCATGACAGCGTGACTCAGAGAGTGATCCAAGAGTGACTACCCTTTTCCGACAGGTTGGTTGTTGAAAATACGTGGCTTAAAAAAACAGCCCAACCTATACTTCCTTTGAAAGGACATAAAAGGAACATAGTTGAACTACCTACAAGGCGGTGCCCACCAGTGAAATGTTGGTTTGTAAAGCCCATTGAGATCCATTAACATCCATTAACATCCATTAGAACTGCCATTAACATCCATTAACATCCATTAACATCCATTAGAACTGCCATAAGCCTAACAGCTCACCCATTTCCAACATTTCTCACAGCTCGCTTAGCTTTTGGCCATCCCGAAACATCGCAGGAGTTTCAAGGCGGGTGCGCAACTTGGATTCTTCAAACCGGGTGACCTTGAAAGATGGGAAAACACAGCGATGGTGGCTTTTTGGTCACCTAGTCTCTGAAATATAGGTTCCCCATATGCTCCATGTCTGGAATATGAAACCCAAGATTTGCCCGAATAATCACCCAAATGTAGGTAAATATACCATACAGGGAGCGTATGGGTCCTATATATATTTATACATATTTCAGAGATTAGATGCTATTCAGCTGCCATTCAAAAATGCTCTTATGATCTTTCCACAGTTGCCGTGAAAAATGAGAAACTGCATAGATGTGTTATGATGTGTTTACCAATTAAAACCTCCATTCATAGTGGGTTTCCCCATATTTTTCCAGCATTTTTCCTGGATCCCCAGCTCTCAGGAACGGCGCGCGTGTGGGCTTCCTGACCAAGGAGGGCTTGCTGTCGGCGCTGAAAGAGCTGGGCCTGGCGGCCATTGGGAATGCGGAGGAGGTGGTTGCGGGCACTGGATTGTGGTGAGTTTTTGTTGCGGCATATCTCAGCTGATTGGTGGTTTGGAACATTTTTCACCAACTATAGTCCAACTATTATCTGGTTGGTGGTTTGGAACATGACTTTTATTTTCCCCAATAGTTGGGATGATGATCCAATCTGACTTTCACTCCATTTTTCAGAGGGGTAGGGCGAAAAAACACCAACCAGTCAAAAGTTGTGTAATGTGCCCCCGGTGCAGTGTGTATCAGATTGGAATCATTCAGGATGATGAGATATGATTAATTTCCTGATTTTACCGCTATATGCTGAGTGATTACACACGGTAAAACGATGATTAAGCAGCTGTCAATTATTCACATGTCACAACTGATATCCTTATTTGCTGATCTCTCCCATATTAATATTATGTATAATCACTATTCTCCCCAAATATTGGTTTGGTATGCCCCGACATATGAAAATCCTGAGTAGTGATGTGTGTTTTTAATCATATTCTATCTACTCGGGGATATAGATAGATAGATATATATATATATAGTATCCACCTGTATTTTTTTTGGGGACTATACATTCTGGATCAGTACATAATAATAATAACAATAAATATTATTATTATTATTGGCTTATTGGTATTATATGTTATGATTCTAGTAACCCCAAAAAATATAGAACCACTAGTTTTCATTATATGATTATGGTATCTAGCTATTATTATTATTAGTATTATTATTATTACGAACTATGATATTATTGAATCATAGTGTTGTAAGTTGTTGGGGGTGCTATATATATAAATATATATATTATGCTATTGGGATCAGATGGGGACTTTTCCCGAGGCCCTGAAAGTAACCCGAGTCACAGATGCAGAACAGGTCCATCTTCCACTGATCGAATCTAACGCCATAAACCATCCATGACTGGGAATGGTAAATCATAGCGCCTATAAAAATGGTGGTGACTGGGGGATGGTTTATGGCATTGTTTTACCCATAGAAAACCAGGTTTGTGTTTGTGGGTTGTAATTCGAATGTATTGGGATATATCCCATGGTGGTTGCACTTGGCAACAAATAATCCAGTGGCTTCATGGAACTGGGGACGATCCGAGAGCTTTGCGAAATACTCTCTGGTAATTTAACATAGCTACCCTCTGGTGAACTAACATAGCAATGGAAAATGGCTATTTATAGTGGATTTTCCCATTAAGAATGGTGATTTTCCTTTGCTATGTTAGTTCACCAGAGGGTATTGAAAATCACTATTTTACTGCTCAAACCATCTATCAATGGTCCATCTATACCATAGCTATGCTCGTGTACTGGAGGCTACTGTACTTAATGAAACACGAAGATTGAGATCCCAGGTTTGAGGTGTTGGTAAAAACGGTCTTCAACGACAATTATAGAATATCATAGGTTCATGTATGATTGCAATGTTTTGTATAAATTATAGAATACATATTATAGTATATATGTATGATAGAAAAAAATATCGCATGTTTACATGTTTTCGCCATAAAGTTGTCTATTCAAAAGTCTATGTTCATCATTGTTCATCCAGGTTTCATAATATCCAACTCCCAGCCCCAGCCGCGAGCGCATGGCAGGCCTCAGACCTTACGCGAAAACTCATCGTGGCCAAGAAGGTACTGTCCCGAGGGACTGTATCGCCAGTTAGGTCGAAGCTCACCTTCGGGATATCATGGTAAGACATAGGTCAATCATGGTTTATGATGGTTAATACTGATCATTAATGGTGAATATTAGTGGTTAACAATGATCATCAATGTTTGGTTAACAAGATATGAAAATAATGATGTTAATAGATGTTAATAGTGGTTAATGTGGGTAAAACAATGCCATTTTTACGACCCATGACTGGGAATGGTAAACATAGCACCTATAAAAATGGTGATGACTGGGGGATGGTTTATTATTGGTTTACCCACATAATAAATGAATAGATAGATAGATAGATTAGATTCGATTCGATTAGATTAGATTAGATTAGATAGATAGATAAAAACACTATATATATAATTATATATTTCAATTGTGCTAAGCCCCAAAAAAACAACAACCCCAAAATCACCATAGGTTGTATAAACCATCCCCATAAGATTGTGGGGTCAAAACGCCATTTCTTATGGGCTACAAAAGGAGGCTACCGTTACGGTAGTGGGACAAGATTGGTTGCCAAAAAGGGTGCCCCAATTCGGAATCGCCAAGTTGCTGAAGCCAAGTCATCACTTGGGAGCACCACTTTCTTCGGAAATGGTGGGTGGTTACCACCTGATCCACCTGAAAACGAAGATGTTTTGTTGCCAAAAGCCACAAAATGATGATGAGGATGATGATGGTGATGATATCATGGATGAAATTTGCGAAGGCGTCGATGGGTTACAGTTTACCACTTTGGAGGAATCTGGGACGTAGATGTGTCACTGAAAATGTCCAGAATCTACCATTGACACCGGTATCCAGGCTCAGCACAGGGTAGCTGGGTAGCCATTCACATGGACTTGTCACCCCAAAATTGCTAGGAAGACGCCCATGGAAGAACAGAAACAAGAAATACCCTCTGGCAATTTAACGTAGCTATTGAAAATGGCCATTTATAGTGGGTTTTCCCATGAAAAATGGTGATTTTCCATAGCTATGTTAGTTTACCAGAGGGTACAATATGCAAGCAGGTTGCACGTGCCCAACCGCAGCCAGAGTAAATTCCTTCCACATGCACTCTTGCTCAGATGGCCTAGATATATAGTTCGCTGAAATAGAGGATTAGAACCTACTGCAAGTCCATGAAACAGATTGGAAACTCATGGAGCATCACATAATTTCACATAATTTCGTCAAGTCTAGTGAAACACCAATTTTCAGTTGGGAATGTCATCATCCCAACTGACTTTCAGTCCATCATTTTTCAGATGGGTAGGGCTCAATCACCAACCAGCTATCCTTAAGTTCAACCCCCAAGTGACTCCATGTGACTCCCCTCAACCCATGGCCAGGTGCACATTTTCCGTCACCTCAGTAGCGAACAGATCACCAAGTTGGTCCAGTCCTTCGTGCTGCAACGCTATCGACAAGGCGGCAGCTGGGCGCGGCAGCTGGCTGGAAAAGTCCACCGTTTTCGGGAAAAAAATCTCCATTTTTTCCATAGGAACATCATGGTTTCATAGGGGAAAATGACCATTTTTCATGTCATAGCAACACAAAAAAAACACATGTGTTACCCTCTGGTGAACTCACATAGCGGAAAATGGGTGATTTATAGTTGGTTTACATATATAACATGGTGATTTTTCCATAGCTATGTTAGTTTACCAGAGGGTATCATCTATAAATGAGCCATAGCTTCCATAGCTATATTTTTTTCAAACCAGAGGGTATGGATGGGGATAATGGAATGAACTAACCATTTTAGGGTGTTTTTTTGGGTGATACAATGGGATACATATATAAGTCAAATCACCAATAAAACATTGGTTGTACTCCCAGTTTTGGCATTTTTAATAGGGAAAGCATAACATTAAAACAAAAGCAGTGGATTTTGGAGTGCGCTAGTTTCAGACACACCAGTATAGCAACATCCAAATTGAAAGATAAGAATCAGAAACCTACAAACTATGAGTAAAGATCATCAACAAAACATCCTTCGAAAAAGCACTTCTATCTTTTTGCGACCTCTACCCAAAACCACATGGGCTTTCCAATTAGTAGAAACCAATGAATTGGTTGATTTTTTTGGGGTGCACCATTATTAAAAAAAATCCCGGCAGGGAAGACTCATAGAAGGATATACTGTTGAGTCTTGAGTAGTATGTGCAAAGTGCAAGTTGTTTTTAGTGGCTACACTAGGGGGCATTGGCGGGGTGCGATGATCATGGAATCCTCGTAGGGGAATGATCATATGCAAGGAGCAGGATAATCGGCTTGGCATTTGCTCAACGCCCCACTTCGTATTTCTAAGATGCGTGAGACGAAAAATGTCGTAAAAAAAAGGACTATTTCTAATACAAACACATGATGAACTATTGTCATGATGAATGAGCTATATTCATTTTTTTCAAACACTAACATTTTTTTCGCTATCGTTTTATAATGAGCCAACGTGATCTGATAATATCTAACAATCACAAGCATGAGAATCGTCACCAAGTCGTCCAGGCGCTCACGTGATCAAGCAGGGTGAGGTCGGTTCCTCCTTCTTTGCCCGGACGCCCAGGGAGTTCAACAGTTCAGCCCAAGAGATCCATTGATGGGCATGGATCCACCCTCCCCATGTTTTTGCCGTATCTTTGTGGGTTGTGTAAACCTTCAACATGAAGAAATATGAGTGTTTGAAGGAAATCGTAAACCATCAACATCAACATCAGTTTGTAACATATGGTTTTACTATTGGTTTTCGTAAATCTATTGCTTTACTAAGCATATTGGCTGTTAGTAATGTAGGTTAGTAATATAGGTTAGTCTCTACTGGTGGTTGTCTAAGCTTGCATACGATGGTTTAATTGCCACTTTTCTTCGTAAATCCCTGTTTGGAAATATAGGTTACCGGTAGTAAAATAATGTAAAATATAGTTTGCGGTATAATCTATTGTTTAATTGTTTTACTAAAAATATTGGCTGTTAGTACTGTATATGGTAAACTAACATAACTACGGAAAATCACCATGCTATTAATGGGAAAATCAACGATTTCTATGGCCATTTTCGATAGCTTTTTGTATGTTTACCAGAGGGTAGTATGGATAGATCCTAACCTTCCAGCGAATCCGAAAGTCGCGTCGCCACGAGGTCATCGCCAGCGGCGACGTCAAGGTGGAGATCAATGGGAAGTTCATTCGTGCCGAGCTGGAGACGGGTCGCTGGCGGGAGGGATTCAGAAAGGGATTTTTCATAAGGATTTCATAGGGAATTAATGGAAATTCATAGGATTTTTTCAGAGGGATTTCATAGGGATGTTTTCTTCGGGATTCATTTTTTTGGATTCACCCAATGCTATTTGCACCATCCTCAATCCATATCACCATGGCTGGGATTTCAACATATTTCAACCATCCCCAGATGCAAGGTTTATCATTGGGGGAAACCCACATTGATAGGGAATGGGATTCAATCAATAGTCTGTGCCTATTATTTGTTGTTGTCAATTTTTTGAGGATACTGGGAAGAGCCGATGTTTGTATCATATCAAGCACCCTTTTCATCGTTGGATATATACATATACATATATATATATATATATGTACAGATGACCCCTCACTGCCCTCTTTCCCAGGCACCATGACAAAGAACCATCTACACGTAAATTTCATATCACTTTTAATTAATAGAACTCTATATATATATATATGTATATACATACGTATGTGTGTGTTTTTTCTTACACGCACACACACACATATATATATGTAAATTATATATATAGATGTAAATTATATATATATATAAAATACATATCATATATCCCACTATTAGTATAACCCATAGGATCCATGTATGCTATATATGGTGACATTTACCATCAATATACCCCAAATGTTAGCATATATACCATACATGGATCCTATGGGTAATATCCATCCAGCCAAGGCACCATGACGAAGAACTCGTACTTCGGCGAGCGCGCGCTGCTCTTCGACGAGCCCCGCACCGCCACGGTGGAGGTCTCCTCGCCCGAGGCCGAGCTCTGGTCCATCGAGCCCCTCGGCCGTTCAACCGCTGCGTAGCCGTTACGGTTAGGGGACGGGGAACGCAACGGGAAAACAACGGGAGGTGGTGGAAATGCTATGAAATGGTTGGAAAGTATGGGTAGAAAGCCACCCTGCGAAAACAAAAAAAAAGATGCTGGAAACTTTAAGGACACCTGGAAATTTTCAGGTGAAAAATCTCACGGAAACCTATCTTTTTTGGAAGCTGTTATAAGAGATTATCGCCATAAAGGAGATGGCTGAGAACCCATATGAGTTTTCTATGGTTAAAATCGGTGAAAACCAAACAGTGTGGTTGGGAAATCTCCAATAAATGAAGTAGTTGGTGATGATTCAACTGTTTGTTTGAAGGTGGTGGGTGAAATTGGGTGAACATGATTAACACAATCAACTTTAAATGATTATTTAGTTGGAAAGTATGAAGAGATGATGCTTGGACGGTTCTACCTGAAGCTGGTGGTTCAGGTTTAACAACCAATCACCCCCCCAAAAAAAAACATATATATATATATATATTTCATGCAGTTATTGAATAATCATTGGTAAACACAGTGGAAAACACATTTTTGAGGAGGAAACTGCAAGTTCTGGGCACCGGAGTGTGAAACCATTGCAACCTTTGGGGTGCCAGAGTTGACCATGACAGCCAGGGTATGTTTGGTGCACTTGAAATACATAAAGGTCCCACAAGCACAGGTTTCCTGTGTCTATCCTTCCTTTTTTATGTGGATACTGCTAAAAGAAGTTCCGTAATGGTCCTCCTATGTTCGAAAAGTTTTGATCAAAGTCGTCTCAAACCCTAAAATCTCCATTTTTGGTTGCTCAAAGCAGTTTCACCACTGCGAAAAAAGTATTCACTTAAACCCACAGAAAACGCCAGTTGGGAGCTCAGTTCGTGCCCAGGAAGTCAACTTTCTCATCCATTGTGAAGGGTGCCTTGGCACCCAATGGGTCCAAGAATGACTTACCCTCTGGTAAACAAACAAAAAGCTATATATTGAAAATGACCATTTATAGTTGATTTTCCCAGAAAAAATGGTGATTTTCCATAGCTATGTTAGTTTACCAGAGGGTACTTTTTTACTTTTTTCCCTGGGATTCACTAGTGAACGCATTTGATGCCCCATTCATTTGCTGATTTGAGTGATCTATGAGGTATAGTCGTGGATTCTGCAATGAAGGGTTTATTTGATATCGCCATGGTGTTGCTGGTTGTTGCTGGCTGTAGCTCTTGCCACCCATTGCGAATTTAACAGTTTGCTCTGGAAAAGCACCATTTCTAACAGATTAATAGGTAAATCATCATAATCATCTATGAATCATCTATAAGTGAGCCATTTTGCATAGCAAACAGAGGGCACATGTATGTAACTGTATATGTTGTTTGTTTGTTGTGAATACTTTCCAGCATCGTTTCAGCCTTGAAGCAAATCACAAAAAAAAAACGTGTCTCGTTGGGATCTTGGGATTTGGGGAGCTGAAGCCATCCAGTGATGTCAACAGGTTACAATCATGGCTTGGCAAAAAAAGGCAAGACATTGGCGTAGTGGCGTAGTGTCTGTAGTCAAAATCAATCAAAATCATCTACACAAAGTTTAGCTGGATGCCAAAATATGCACCATGACCTTTGTTTCTACCAAACAGGTGTCCCAATCTTGTCATCTCCCATTGAATTTTGGTCGTTCCACCGTTGCCAGGCAAGATGCAACAGGAGTTGATGCATCGCATCCGACTGCACCTCGACCAAGTTCATTCCCCTTGAATCCAAGGATTAGAACTGGGGATCCAGAAGAATAAAACATCCAGAACTGCCAGAAATAACCAGAACAGGGGCATGTATCGTTTTTTTACAAGCAGTATTTCCCTTCCCCCAAAAAACTAAACGGTCCCCTAAACGGTCTCCCAAATAATGAACACCTGGAGGAGTTTTTTGTATTACGGGGGTATTTAGTATTGGGGTGCGAAGCTTCCCCCTAATATTAGATTAAAAACAAGAATATAATAAAATACTTTTTTTCTTTTTTTTTCGACCTTCAAAGACGGACCAAACACCCCGGGGTTGACTAGTTTTTATTATTAGGGGGTGAAACCCTGAAATGGGACCTTCATTTGTGATTTGTTTTCGAAAGGGATCAATTAAAAGTCAAATTGGCCAGTCTGAAATTTCCCAAAATTTAACGCGACCCTAGGTTTTAGTATTTGGGGTACGTTTAGTAAAAGGAGGTGGGGATTATTTAGCAGCCTCTCCTGTCTATATACCCTGCTGGAGCGGTTGCTTTTTCACTCGCCTTTGGCCCAGCTGAACTCTTTGAGAAGGCGATGGAGAGAGGGATAGTTTTTGCTAGATATATATATATATAAATTCATTCCGAACCATCCGCAATTATGAACCATATCCGTCTTCTCCATCCTCTCAAATGGGGGCCATACACAATTTCATAAACCACGATTTTAAGTCAAAATTGGACATTTACCACTGACCAATTCTTGTTGGATCAAGCTGTTAAGACCCAACCGAAACGCAAACCAGCATGTAGTTTTTTGGTATTTGGATTCCTGAGATTCCCCTGTGAGAGGAGTGATATACAGCTACTAGTTCAAATTATTTCATTAGGATGCTGCCAGGAATGCTAAAACCGCCAGCATTCACCTGCATTCACCAGCCCAAAGAGAACATGCCAAGGCAAGACACCGACTTTACTATGAAGGAGTGGCCGGGGAGGGGCTTGCTGTTGGACATCAGATGGGAGGTTTCGGACTGGCCATCCAAGATAAACGGCCAGGGTTGATTCATCAGACGTTCCTATAGTACATTTGATGTGAAACATCAAGCGTTTCAAGTAGCCGGCCCCACGCATTTTGGGCCCTGTTTCTGGTTCGGCCATAGAATGGTTGGCCATGAAATGACATAACCTGAGTCATTTGGGGAATCTACTGGGCATGGCCCTTATTCTTTGTATTCCCATAAGCAAATTCAAGATTTCTAAAACCAACATTCATATTAAACGTAGGTTATATGTAAGATTCTAATTATCCCCCAATTGTTTTCCCCATTTCTTTGATGAATTCTGGCTATACCTACAGGATGGTGCCCCCTAGTTATAAGTTGGTTTATAAAGCCCATTAACTATTTATAGTTATATCTACCATAAACTATAGAATTCAGCCACTCATTAAGGCAACTGAACGCTATCTTGGGGCCCCCGTCCTGTTGGACCGACCTCCCTTGGTAGGACCTGAAGACCGTCCGTGTCATTGGCGCCGGCGCAGCTGGGGTGGTACGACTGGTGATGAACAAGAAGACAGGCGCGGACCGTCGGAGCGTCTCTGTTGGGTACCTCCTTTAAGGGATCAAACGGGGCTGGGAAATCCCGAAAAACTGAAGGATTTATTGCTGGAAAATCATCGAACTATGTATGGGGAGATCATGGGGATATAAACCAACAAATGGGCCGCGGATTTAAGCAACAAAAATCAAACGTCTAAAAAAGCTGGATTTTTCAGCAAGCCATGTTTGACCGGTAAATCTGAGTGGCATGGGCAAGTCCAACGGACTTTCAGACGGACTTTCACGGACGCAAACAGCTTGTAATGGATCCATGTATGCTATATATGGTGACATTTACCATCAATATACCCCAAATGTTAGCATATATACCATACCTGGATCCTATGGGTAATGGTGAACCAGACATTCCGGGAATGTCGCGACTATTGGGCCACGCGGATCTTGGGGAACTTCAACTGGCAAAGGGGTCATTCAATGTTGCTGCTTTCCAAGCATTGTTGGTCGTTTATTGTTTGCGTCGGAAAGTTGGATCGGAAAGTGCTTCATTGTGGGTCAGCATTGGTTTGAATGGTCCAATATCTCAAATGCTGTCTCCAAAATTAATCATGCCCATAGGATCCATGTATGCTATATATGGTGACATTTACCATCAATATACCCCAAATGTTAGCATATATGCCATACATGGATCCTATGGGATAGATCGTCAGGATTATCGTCACTCTCCGTGTGACAGTTTCCACACTTAGTCTGACTTCTGTTTAACCTGCGCAAGGCATGCGGTGGCTGGGCAGCAACGGTTGCAGCAACGGTTGGGGGATTGTGGCTTCCTAGACAGGCCATGGCTTAGGTCACTGAAATTTGAAATCAACATGGGTCATGGGTCATTTCCCAGAAACAGCATTAATTATAATAATTATAGCAACCCAGGAGAAGATGGATTGCTGAAAAAAAATCGTAACCAGAATTATTGTGAATCACTATGGCCCATGGCGCAGTGATTTTCTCCAGCCACCAACATTCATCATTCATCCCCAGGGTCCAGAGCACTTCGAGTTGCTCATCGGAATCTCACATCCGAAAAAATATGTGAAAAAATAGGCATCAATAAGTCATAATACCCATATGATCCATGGTGCTGGAATATGAATCCCAACATTTGCCCGAAAGAAATCACCCAGTTTTGTAGGTATATGGAGCATATGGGATAATCATCCAAAATATCTGGTAGTCAATATGTCAGTTGGGCGCAGGCTAGGTCTGAAGCCGATGGCGAGAAAGAGATGCCATTGTTTTGCCACAATATAGAAATCACCCTTAAATCCTCCATCAAACACCCATAAATCATCTATAAATCACCCATAATCATCCATAAAACATCCATAAATCATCCATAAAACACCATAAATCACCCATAAATCACCCATAAATCATCCATAAAACACCATAAATCATCCATAAATCACCCATAAATCATCCATAAAACACCATAAATCATCCATAAATCACCCATAAGTCACCATAAATCATCCATAAAACACCATAAATCACCCATAAATCAGCCATAAATCACCCATAAATCAGCCATAAATCACCCATAAATCAGCCACACAACTGTGAATCCTTCCGTCTGAGGTATGCCCTGAAGCGGGTGCGAAAGAGTCAGGGAAAGATCCCCGTGGAGGTCAAGCGTCGCTCGCCAGCGTTGGCGGCGGGCTGTCAGCCGGTTGGGATGAGGATGTTGAGTCTCTGGTGATATGATAGTGGCAATATAGTGGTCATATAAGTCATATAGTATCCTAGTATCCCCAACAAAAACATCCAGTTATAGATGACTTCCCAAGATTTTCCGTGGTTTATCCATATATAGTTTATAAACCACTGATTGGTGGTTTGGAACATGGCTTTTATTTTTCCATTTCATATATGGGAGTGGGATGTCATCCTTCCCATTGACGAACTTATATTTTCCAAGATGGCTAAACCACCAACCAGATATATATAGTCAAATGATGATAACCTGATTGGTGGTTTGGAACATGGATTTTATTTTTCCAGATATTGGGAATGTCATCATCCCAACTGACTTTCATATTTTTCAGAGGGGTAGGTCCGGGTAGGTATACCACCAGCCAGTAACTATATAGGGATGATTATGGGTGATGATGATTAATGAATGATTAATGATGATAACTATATAAGGATGATTAGTGGTGATTAACAGGGATACCATCTGGTTATTTAAGGCTTTGCGACCTGGAAAAGAGGTAAATCATCGAACTATTAAATGGGCCATGCTCCCATATCTATGTTAAATTACCAATGGATTGGGCAAGTTTCCATACTTGGTGGCTCATCCCACTTAGTAAGTGGGTTATAACCCCAGTTATAAGTGGATTAACCCTACTTATCCCATTTATAACTGGGGTTATAACCCACTTACTAAGTGGGATGAGCCACCAAGTATCTATGCTAAATAACAAACTGTAACAAATAACCAGAGGGATCCAGAGGGTACATCCAGGAAAACATGATGTGACGTGCTATCAATCTATCAATGGTTTGGTGCCTTAATTTTTGGAATACTGTTTGTTTCCACTCTGGCTACCAGATAAGAAGTTTTGGAATAGGTTAAAAACACCATTCAGGGTTTGAAAAGAATCTAGCACTAGTTCAGATTTTATTGCTTGATGGAAAACACAACGAGAAGCATATCTTTCCCCATAGATTCTGGTTCCATATTTGTGCCCCATAGATGCTTTCTATTTGTCATAGTTTTTCTTGCTATTTTAATCTATTTAATTATATGTAGGTTACTCTTTTAGTGAAGTGGTTCCAAACAGTGAAAATAAGTGTTATATTAAATATAAATGAGGTTCCTTTAGTGGAATAAGTCCATTAAAATTTATATATAGTCTATTCGTTTAGTGAAACCTTATTTCACCCAAGTGGTTTCAATTCAAGGACTTCCCTGACCTGCTTAGGCGAATGCGAATTGCTCAAGGCACAAGAGCATCCGTTCATCATGTCACTTGGTGACGATGTTTGATGCGGAATGGTTGGAGATAGGAAAAAATAGGAACATCTTGGGAAAACCATAGGACAACTATACGAAAATGGTGGATTTAACAAGAAAACATGTGATTTAATGGGATGTATAGCTGATTTATTGATATATGTAAAGATCACGACGTGAATTCAATGGTTTATGCTATGTTTTTTTTTTAATCCACCTTAAAACTGGGGGATCCCAACATCGGAACTATCTTGTGGGTGGTGAACTCTCCGGAAGATCGGTTGGGAACTTGTCGTTGGGAAATCATCGTGTTGTGAAAAACTCAATGGATTGGCTTACGGGAAAAATTATACCATTTGGCCCCCCCAGTTATAAGTTGGTTTATAAACCCCATTAAGTATAGTTATTTACGTACCATAAACCATAGTGAAATTGAAGTTATTTGCACCAACTTAGCTATCCAACGGGGGCCCCACATTGTACCATGTGGGCCCCGTTAAGTTTGTTGGATTTTGTTTGTCCATAAACCTGAGTAATCATAGTTATAACTATCATGAACCATGGTGAAATTGGAGTTAGAACCCCCCATTTTCAATGGGAAAAGCCATGGTCTCCTGCAGATCAATCATTCCACTGAACATGGATAGTTGTGGATCCCACGTTCGGAGGGGCTCACAATAAAGTCCCATCATATTCCAAAAGCCCATTCATATCCCATCTGGGTAAATTATAACGACCTCACTACGACCTCACTGGAAATCATGGTTAGTAAGGGAAATCATCCCCAAATGGCCTTAATTCAGCATATCCCATCCAGATCACATCAAAATCCCATGAACAATCCAGTGATCCATCAATTGAATCCGATCAAAATCCCATGAACAATCCCACAGTTATGGCCCTTTATATACAACTTATGTTTGTACAGAAAAAAAACATTTATAGAATGTTTTTTTATCCCATAGAAATAACCAGTTATAACGTTTATAGCCATGGCCATTTTTCTGTATTTTCCTACGGCTTTTCCCATGGTTTTCAACCCTGAAAACTGACCTTCGCGTTCAGGAGATTGGTGCAGACCTTCGAGACGACCAAGAGCGTGCCTTGGACGTGCGACCAACGCGACCTGCGTTTGTTTTTTTTGGGGGAGTCACTCTGGGGACTTTTCCACAATTCATGTTGTAAACCCACTAGTAAAGATTGTAAAGCAGCAAAATTTGGGATATACTTGGTCCATTTAATTTATGGACGATTCGCCTAGATTTACTATTGCTATTTTAAAATAAGCACAGCGCATATATGGTACATTTATATATATATAGAGAGAGAGAGAGGGAGAGAGAGATGGGATGTGATATGGTGATTTAACCATATGGGATATTCCACTGGAAGTGTCCAAGCGGAAGATCAGATATACATGGCATGGATAAGATTGTTGGTATCATATTATCCACCTATCTAAAGTATTAAACTGTGATAAGCGCAATAATGAACCATTATTATGTGGTAAACCCAATAATAATAATAATAATTAATCCCCAAAATCAGCATTGCATGGGTGAGATTTCAACCATCCCCGGTAGGCCGGTAGGTGTTTATGGCATTGGGTGTCCCACATTAAAGCCATTTATAATACCCTCTGGTAATTTAACGTAGCTATTGAAAATGACCATTAATAGTGGATTTTCCCATTAAAAATTGTGATTTTCAATAGCTATGTTAAATTACCAGAGGGTATTTTATAATCAGCTTTACCAATCAGATTGTTTTTGATTGTTTTTTATCCATTACATCAACCTATATATATATATATATATCCCCTGAAATCATATATGATTGGTTCTAAATCGGATGGTACCTCTTGTACTGTATATATATATATATACGATACTGTAAACTTGCTATAGATGATATCACATTATAAGACCATTTGTAATGCTGACTAATTATCATCTACTAGTAGGTTTGTCATCAGATGGTAATTATATAATGGTTGCTATCACATTTCAAAAAAAACACAAAAACAAAAGGTGTTTTAATCACATGACAGATCGATGTCTATTTGATTTCGAAAATGTGATCATATGACAGATCTGATTAATTTTGATCGGAATTTTCCAATAGTGGTCCCAGCCCCAGCTGATTAATCAGATTAATTTAATGTTACTATTTTTACATTAACCCCTGGTGAACTAACATAGCAATTGAAAATGGCCATAGAAATAGTGGATTTTCCCATTAATAGCATGGTGGATCTTTCCATAGTTTTTTGTTAGTTCACCAGAGGGTAATCCCTGGGGTTTTACCATTTCCCATAGGATCCATGTATGCTATATATGGTGACATTTACCATCAATATACCCCAAATGTTAGCATATATGCCATACATGGATACTATGGGTTTCGATTCTTGTCGATTTTCGGTCGAGGTCTACATCCTTACGGAACTCATCACCGGTGGCGAGTTGCATGGTGCCATCCGTGAGATCCCCACGGTGCTGTCCAGGTGTGGTTGGTGAAGCAGTTTCATGGCCGGGACGGTCGTTGGGAGAATGGGAGAAGTACCCTCTGGTTATGTCAAAATAGCTATTGAAAATCACCATTTTTAATGGGAAAATCCACTATTTCTATGGTCATTTTCAATAGCTATGTAACAAATTACCAGAGGGTAAGATAAGTAACCATCAAACATGGAGATGTCACATGATTGAAGCAGCACAATTTGGTGATTCAACATGATTTAACCATCAAAACTGGAGATTCAACATGATTTAACCAACACAAAGTGTGATGTACCATCATGTTTTAGCGATTTGACCAAGAAAAACCGGTGATATGCCCCTGTTTAGTTGGATTTGAGTGGGAAAATCATGGATTTTTGTCAGGGGAGATCAAAGGGATTTAACCCAAAAAACCTAACGTGGCCATGAGAAAATCCCCGAACTAAATGGAGGTTTTAATGGGAAATCATGGGGAAAATCATCGAACTATAAATTTTAGTAATTTCATCAGCGAAAACCGGGGATAGAGTTGATTTAAGTACGGCGTTGGAACAAAAACAGACAGGAACTTGGAGATGTTGATGCATACCCTCTGGTAAACTGTCACCACATAACTATGGAAGATCACCATTTTTAATGGGTAAATCCTCTATAAATGGCCATTTTCAATAGCTATGTAACAAATTACCAGAGGGTAAAATGGAAGCAACACACGTATTTTAAGTAGCCAGAACGATTGGGGATTTAACCAAGGAAAAAGATATAGCTGATACTTTTGTGTGGTTCATAGGCATGCAATGGGGGAAAAAAAAAGAATGAACACACACACACACATATATATATAATATGATAATGTGGTGCAAGGTGCTGCATTTGTTTTTTGTGTGTTGGTAGTTTGGGCAGAAAACATGGAGAGGTTGACGGAGACTACCACCAGAAATTGCGGTTCCTCCCCAAGTTTACTCATCATAAATCATATCTAAACTCCCAGTTAACTCACCATTTTACCATGGTTTCGGCCCTGGGGCCCCTCACCAACCAACTTTGCCGACCGTGTTTGCAGGACGCAGGCGCAGTTCTACACTGGCTGTTTGATCATTGTCCTCGAGGTTCTGTGGTGGGAGGGTTGGCCGGAAGCTGTTTTGGGATGTTTTGGGGATAATTAATAAAGTACATAATATTGACATCGATACATATTAAGAGCTATAGTTTCGTTTTAGTGCTATTCAAGGTAGGTTATGTAGACTGAAAATTGGACACAACATCTCATCTAAAATTTGCTTCAAGCAGACCCCAGCCACAATACCCAAAATGGTGATACATAGCCAAGAACTGATTAATTAAAACATGCCTTGAGGAACGGGTGCTTTCTTTGATTTGATTGGAACGATGTACCCTCTGGTGAACTAACATAGCAATGGAAAATCACCATTCTTAATGGGAAAATCCACTATAAATGGCCATTTTCAATAGCTATGTTAGTTCACCAGAGGGTATTCACTAACTTTTGAACATACATGCGATGGCACTCTCAATCGGAACCTTTCCGAGGAGCATCCGAGGTTGGACATCGGAGACTTTGAGATTCCCGGTTGATTTGTTTTTGTTTTTTAACTGAACTTTGTTTTTGGTGTTTAAATGGGGGGAATCCAACATAAACATGTTTGAATGAAATGGTGGACCCGGACCCAGTTGATTTTTTCCACAGATCTTACTGGGATCGAGTGGATTGCTCCAGGTTCCACCTCAGATACTTCGGAGATATTTATCTCCAAAAACAAGTCTTTGTTTATGATATTTCCAAGGGTTTACGAACCTCAGATACTTCCACCTCGGATTCTTCCAAGGGTTTATGAACCAACAAATCCAACGCATTCCAAGGCTTGAAATCTCCGGATGTTTGATGGAGACGTTCTCATCATGTAATGTATGATACATATATACTGTAATCATATATATATATGTATGTATGTATGTGTTAATTTACATGATATACCCATATTGATTGCAGTGATAGACCCATATCCATCTATATATAATATTTATACATATTTATACAGTATATACATCATCAATCCACTCGAAACAAATCTTGTCCCATGTCACATGACCAACCCTCCTATGCGTCTGCAGGAGCTCAGTGAAAAGAACATCGTCTACAGAGATCCTCGCAGAGAAGATCCAAAGCGTTTTTTTTGGTTGTTTTTTCCAATTTCCAAGGGCAAAAAGGGGAGTTACTGGGTTTGTTATGTTTTTGTTTTAAATCAATCCACTAGAGGTTGTGAATCACTGCGACTTTCTTCCGCTTTTTTTTTATGGGTGGAACACAGAACTGCTTGGTGGTTTCAATTCCAATGTCTCGGTCTCGGTGATCGCAAGGTGAGAAAAATGTGGGCATGATATTCCCATGACGGATCCTAACGGTGCTGCTATGGTGACATGGATCCCATCAACAAAAAACCCAGTCATGCTAGCATATATGCCAGCACCATGGATCCGTCATGGGGTTTATCTTCATTTTTTGGCACGTACAGTAGAATCATACGTTTTTATGATGATAAGATGTAGCCTATGAGAAACGATAAGTTTTGGTAAAAGCCTTTGTATAGGTTTCAGATCGTTGATGATGATTGTTTTATCTTCTGGTATCAATTGATATCGTGGACATTTTTCTGCATGTCTTGAGGACTCATGCCCATATTAACCACCACAGTATACTTGTTGGCTATGGACCCCGTGAATGTGGACAGCAACGACTCAGGCTGACCTGGGACATACCTATATTCCATGTGGCAGTGAAGAACACTATTTTTTGTCCATCAAGATAAGTAGGATTCTTACAGCAGGATGATCCTACCAAACAGTTGATATTTGTATTATAGACTCCTCATTCCCATATGTTTTTTTTAATTGCAAGCTTGGTCTATTCGTGATGTTCGTGAGGCTCAGGTGCTGGAACGTTGCATAGTTTTTTCAAATACAGCAGGATCAGCAGGTACATGACGTCGCATAGTTTTTTTTCCCGGGCTTTGTTAGATTATGATGGCTAAATACCATCCATATCCCACTTATCACAGATCACCTCAAAGATCACCTCAGTTCGGTCACCACCGAAATCCTCCGAGGACTTAAAACCTGAAAACGTGATGCTGGATGCTCAAGGCAGGGATCTGGGATGATCCTGGGGATCGCTGGATCACTAAGGGAACCATGGGCATTTTAGCTTTAGCATCTGGTTTTTTAACATGGCGAACTGGAAAATCCCAATTACCATCTGGTAAACATACAAAAAGCTATTGAAAATGGATTTTCCCATTAAAAAATGTGATTTGTTTGGTTATGACTAACATAGCGAACTGGAAAATCCATGAAATAAATGGAGGTTTCTAGCTGGGAACATCATCTGTAAAAATTCGCCATTGTCCATAGCTATGTAACAAATAACCAGAGGGTAAATCCTAGGCGGACAGGTGTTGGACAGCTGTCCAGAACGTGGGCACACTTTGGAGACCTCAGTTTACCCTCTGGTAAAGATACAAAAAACTATTGAAAATGGCCATTTATACCCTCTGGTAATTTAACATAGCTATTGAAAATCACAATTTTTAATGGGAAAATCCACTATTAATGGTCATTTTCAATAGCTATATACGTTAAATTACCAGAGGGTAGTTGATTTACTCTTCAAAAATGGTGATTTTCCATAGTTATGCAAACGTTTACCAGAGGGTAAATGGTCCGTTCCACTTCCAGATTCTCCGGTGTAGCACCTGTTCCACTTGGCGTACTGGAAGCGGCTGTATGATAACAGCTCTATTCAGGTTGGTCAGTTTTTGCAGTTCAGCTACCCTTTGGTACTTTAAGATAGCTGTGGAGAATGTCCCAATTATAGATGAATTACCTATTGACAATGGTGATTTTCCAGTTCGCTATGTTAAACAACTGGATAGTAATCTGGTTGGTGGTTTGGAACATGGCTTCTATTTTTCCATATTGGGAACAATATTCCCAACTGACGAAGTCATATTTTCAGAGGGGTTGGGCTCAACCACCAACCAGTATATTATAATTATAATCATATGATATGATATATATATATATATCCAAGGATGGATCATTTTTATGATGATAGAGAGTCACTATCATGATGGACATTATATCCCATAGGATCCATGTATGGTATATATGCTAACATGACTGGGGTATATTGATGGGATCCATGTCACCATATTATAGCATACATGGATCCTATGGGTATAATCATATATTCAATAATTTGATGAAGTTTGAACTATGCATTTCGGGCATGGATCGTGACATTTTTTCGGGTCCAAACGGCTCCATCAATCCGGTAGAGCCATGGTAGAGCCATGGCCCATTCATCGAAATAGATGGTGACTACCGTTCTGAAAAATGGGTGGTGATTTTTCATGGCGAACTGTGAATGTCATAACCAGATGGTATAGTTACCACTATATAATTATCAGTTGCCATGAAACTCACCGTTCAATTGCAATTAATTACCATTGAATATCCATGAATTATACCAATTCCGGGATGAATACCATGAATTCCGGGTTGAATCCCTGGTCGGACTACGAATGCCCGTTGTTTTTGGAATCAACAGGAGCACCCCCGTGGTGAAAACCCATCATTTGACCGCTGGTAGCTGTAGCTGTCGATCCAGAATCCTGAGAACGTCGAGGGGCACTGTCCTCCCGAAGCCTGGAATCATGGTTTATGTTAGGGAAATGATCACCAAATAGCCTTATTTATCTTATTTCAGGTTAGTGAACTATGATATCTATGATAATTGACCCACTTGAAATTCAGCATAGCCATGGAACATCGTGGAACATCGTGGTCAACGGTGGCTGCACGGCTGGTTTCTTCGTTCGGTTCGTTCTTCGTAGGCTATCTGAAGTTGATCGACTTCGGCATCGCCAAAAAGCTGGACGAGGGGAAGACACGAACATTCACCATGTATCTGGGCTCCCCATGGGGACGGACTGGGCTTAACCAAACCATATGTTGGTGAAAAAGACCATGGCAAAATACCATGGCAGAAAAAAAGGAAGGTAATCTGCAACTGGGTGTTGTAGTGGGAAGTTGCGTAACACATGGAGCATGGTGATGTATGTCGCCTTGTAAATTTAACTGTGCTGTAGGTACGTCCAGCATACATCCAGCACTTGTTGGAGTTATAAACCACCACCCACCCCATAAATTAAAAGCTATCTTGGGGGCCCCACATTAAGGGCCGATCTAAGCACTGACTAAAGCCTGGATAATTCACTCATTCACTCGATGTTTATCCATTCAGACTGGCTGTGATCCAACAGATGTGTTGAATTTAACCACTCAACCGCTGGTATTTGTTAACCAGCCGTAGTGGGCATTGAACCAGCAATTGGCAGCTTAAGGTTAACCAAAACCGAGGACTGCAGCACCATAGCTGGCAAGCTGCACCAAAACAGATGATGAGCTAACTTTCCAATATAGTGAACTTCGGGAGAACAAAAAAAAAAACGCAGTTTTACTGGATCAAGATGTTGGTTGCTCATATTTCACTGTATGTCCATTATATTTCACTATATTTTATTAACTGAATCATATTTCCACTTTATTTCACTGGGATGATCTTCGGTAAGACTTCCCAGCGGTGCGGTGCGTCCAAGCCTTGGGAAAGGATTGGAACGCCTCACTACATGGCGCCTGAAATCATGCGCGGCCACGGCTATGGGACAGAGGTGCGGATGGTGCAACAAAGAGATGGAGGGTTTTTTACCAAGGGAAAAATGGTGCATTGACCTTAAGCAAAATGGAAGTTAAGTCGCGCTTGTAACAACATCTATGGTTTATAGACTTTACAGATGTTTGATAATGTTTGATATGTTTATAGTAGATATTATAATTATATGTAGATAGACCTACCAATCATGTTTGTGGGCTTTATAAACCAACAAACATAAACAGGGGGTGACCTTGTATGAACTGGTTAGTTGCCCTTGTTTCTCTGTTTTTTGCTTAATGCAGTCACCTTTGGGAAACTAAATGTAATGGTAGAGTTCCCAAGACAAACATGTTAGCAATAGACTTTTAATTGATAATTGTATTATAATATGGTAACTGTATGTTTTTCTAGGATTACATGATTACATCATATAAAATACACATGTTCACGAAAATAGTTATAGTCCCCTACCATAAGCATGACCCATGTCCGTGGCAGGTAGACCTGTGGTCTTTGGGCATCATTCTCTTCGAGTTCGTTTGCGGTGCCCCGGTCGATCCTGGATTTTAGAAACGCCGTGGAAATTTCCATCCAAATATTGGTGGAATCATCTCATAGGCCATAGATGTTTCCATGATTTTCCCATGGGTTTTCCCATGAAATCACCATTTTCCCATGGCTTTTCCCATGGTTTTCCCCCAGTTTGCGTGACATCTTCCCGTTCCCTTCCCGAGGCTACTTGCCCTTCGCGGACGAGTTGGACGATCCCACGGAGGTCTGCACTGCCGTGCTGAAGGATCCCTTGGAGTTGCTTGAGGAAAGTGAGGGATGGCGAGGATTCGATGTTTTAGAAGTGGTATGAAGTGGTTAATAGATGGTTAATAGATGGTTAATAGATTAAACATGATCTTTAGTAATGATTAAACATGTTTAATCATTAAATGATGATTAAACATGATGACCAACCACTAATAATCCATAGGAAACCCAATAGGAAAATGATGGTGGTTAACGATGGTGATGGTTAATAATGGTTAATGGTTAATAGATGGTTAATAATTAGATGGTTAATAGATTAACAATGATAACTACCAACACTAGCATCCCTACTATAATCATTTAATCCCATTACCCTCTGGTAATTTAACAGTTTGCGAATTAGAAAATCACCATCTTTAAGAACGGTAAATCAACTATTTCTATGGGCCATCTATACCATGGCTATGTTAAATTACCAGAGGGTAGAAGTTAATGTGGCTAAAACCAAGGCCATGTTTACCACCCATGGCTGGGAATGGTAAGTTTATACCACCCATTAACATTTGGTGACTGGGGATTGTTTATGAAATTGTTTTACCCACATTAATAGTTATAATATAATTTAATGTGGGTAAATGTGGGTAAATATTAATAGTAATATGATTAAGTTAATTTAATATGATTAATATTTTTGCTTTACCCACATTTAATCACAATTATAAATTATCTTCATGTGATTTTAATTTGAGTATTAGTATGATTTCTTATATGATTATAGCGACTTTTTTTTTTATTTTTAATACTATTATAAATATGAATCATATGGTTATAATGTACTTATATGATTCTATATAATGTTTAGTAAAACCATGGCATGTACCATCCATGATGTTGTTTTCTCATAAGAGGTTGCCCATGGTCTAAAGAGGTTATTGTTCGAGTAAATTAACATGACTTCACAGCTGGTCCAGTACTCTCCCGAGAGTTCGTCCGTAGATTTTTCCCTATAGCAACCCTTCAAAAAAGATGCCCAAAAGTGTGCCACCAAGATGTTAGTTCGTCGATATTTACTTTATGTGGAGGTTTCATAAGTCATGGGGCTACCCCAAATCATTCAAGTCAGCCCATGACTTAGTATTGAAACCTATGGTGACGACTGGGGATCCCTCATTTTGAGGAAACCTCTGGCTATTTAACAGCCATGGTATAGATGGCCCATAGAAATAGATGGTTTACGTATCAAAAATGGTGATTTTCCATGGCCAAGTGTTAAATAACCAGATGGTACATTTTTTCTATCTATGATACCCTCCGGTAATCAAACGTGGCAAATGAACAATCACCAATTCAGAGATGATTTTCCCATTCGGATCTGCATTTATAGGACATGTCCAATTGCTACGTTTGATTACTGGAGGTTACTACTATAATCATCAAACCAACCATATAAAAAATGGGAAAATCTATGAAAATCTATGATTTCCTGTAGATTTTCCCTAGAAAAACAATCCATTGATAGATTTCCTCCTTGACCTCCACCAAGGTTCCACTCTCGCTTCAAGGACGGTCGCGACACATTTACGGGCCGGCCGCAGCAAGGGGCAACAGTTGGCCACTTTGAAAAGTCTCAGAATGTGAACAAAAATATTGTCCTATGATGTCCGGCAACGTTTGATTTTTCTTATTTGTTTGTCGATATGTACACTGTCATTATTTTATCTCACTCACTGTGGTGTCCTTTTCCCACTGGTTGGTAGCGGTAGCGTACTTACCGACCCCTCTGTTTGTTCTCACAAGGATATCGTTGACAGTTTGCCCACAAGCGACGCCTGGCATTGAATAGCAGAATTATGCAGAACTGCCCAAAGAATCTCGGGATGGGTGGAACCGTTCAAAATGATGATTATGTTGTTGCTTGAATTGTGTGAACCCCAGTCAAATCGTGCATACGTCCCAGGGGTCTTGCAGATTTGGCATCTCGTACCATCTCGGCCCTAGCTTCTGAAGGTATTTATGGCTGGAAGAGCCCATAGATGTTGTGGTTGGGATTGTTTACCCTCTGGTTATTTAACATAGCCATGGAACATGGACCATTTATAGATGGTTTACCTATTAAAAATGGTGATTTTCCATGGCTATCTTAAAAAAACAGATGGACTTAGGGTGTTTGTAACAAGCGCACATGGAGATATGACCCGAAGCATCATATGACCACTAAAAAGAGGAGAGATTTTCAGCGCCCTGCAGGATGACAAGTGCAAGTCGGTGATTCAAGGGATGCTGAACCGACAGCCCAAGAAACGTCTTGGGGCAGGCAGTTCTGAATGGGGGCTCGCAGGATTGGTCTAAGAGGATGATAGGACGGAGCTGGAGAAAGTTGTTTGCGGCAGAGCGGCTTCAAACGAAACCACCATATACAGAAACATGATTAAACGGTGCATACATGATAGACAATGGATATACACATTTCAGATCACTGCTGATGTGAGCCTGAATAACCATCCCTATCTCGCCCCATGCTGCGAGGCATGAACGGTTGGGAAGATATCAGGCGAGCGGATACGGTTTCCGGTCTGGGCCAGTGGGGCATCAACAGCAATTCGTACCTGGTTGGTGGTTTGGAACATTTTTTTTTTAATTTTCCATTTCATATATGGGATAATCCTTCCCATTGACTTTCATATTTTTCAAGATGGTTAAAACCAACAACCAGGTACTTATGATATAAAGATGAGACACCCAGGTGACGGCCCGGAGACATTTTTTTCACCCGGGATTCACCAACCTCCAGTGTACAAAAAAAGGTGGCCATTTCAATAGCAATTTACAACTTTTCGGTGGTACCCCCCCCCTATACAATGTGGGGCCCCCAAGATAGCTAAGTTGGTACTAAAACTATAGTTAATGGGGTTTATAAACCAACTTATAACTGGGGGGCCCTACATTGTAGAGTCAATCAACGGGGTTTACTCATGGTCATCCATCACAGCCATTTCAGGTCTGTTATACAGAGCTTGCTGTCGATGCCGCCTGCTTCTACCATACCCATACCGGGTATCATTCGTGATCATTTACTTATCAAATCTTATCAAGCATCATTGATATCAAAGTCATTTACTCCATATTTGTCCCGGATGATTCCGGATGGACAATAGCCATGCCATGAATGATCATGCACGTATGTTTCAGGATGCTTAGCACGTGTTTTTCAGGTTATGGTTTTGCCACAAAGGCAACTAGCACTTAAGATCTTTTAACAGGGGATCAACAAACGACCAAGTATTGAGAATGGATGAGAATACCCATAGGATCCATGTATGGTATATATCCTAACATGACTGGGGTATATTGATGGTAAATGTCACCATATATAGCATACATGGATCCTATGGGATAGTACATCACCATTTGCCATCGTGTATTAACGGTGAAAAGCATTGAAAACCCACGGGGAAAAGGGTGCCGTATCATTTCCGAAGGATGATGTAGGTATATGGATGTATATTAGGGTATCCCATATGCGAACCATGGTGCTTTTTTATATGAATCCCAACATTTGCCCGAAAGAAATCACCCAGTTTTGTAGGTTTTTATGTACCAGCACCATGGAGCATATATGGTCACAAATCCCATCCCCCCAGGATTGAACATAAAAAGAAGCCGAAATGGTCTGAAGTTTGTAGGTAAAATGACTATTGAAACATGGACAATCTAATTATGGTAGCTTAATGTAGGTAAATGTAGGTAAATGACTATTAAATGTAGGTAATATGTAGGTACCATCTGGTTATGACTAACACTTCGCAATGGAAAATCCCCAAACTAAATGGAGGTTTCTAGCTGGGAAAATCATCTATTTCTATGGGCCATTTCCACGGCTATGTTAAATAACCAGAGGGTAAATACTATTGAACCATGGGCAACCCATGGTTTCTGTTTGGTGTTTAAGGGAGAAAAAAAAGGGAAGGGACTACATACATCAGTATTGTTTTCCCATGACAATCCTCGTTTACTCCAATTATATTCCCATTACCTTCAAAAAGCCCAACATATTAACTATCTAAATCCCTGATACCCCATCATGCCCCATCATCATCCCTATAAAAGCATATGTTGTTTCATCATTTTGTCCCATTCAATCATATAAAAATCCCATAAAAATCCCATTAGTATCCTATTCAAATCATAAAAAAACTCGCCACTAAATCCCATGCCCATGACGGATCCATGGTGCTGCTATATATGGTGACATGGATCCCATCAACAAAAACCCCAGTCATGTTAGCATTTTTCTACCAGCACCATCGACTCTATGGGATGAAATCCTGTCAAACCCAGTTCGTGTGGGATCCACTGGGCGACCCCCATGGCACGCCAGGAATTGCGAGTTTTTCCTGATCGGGCACCAGGGCAGCACCCTGCCGCCTGGCTCAATATAAAATCCTTGGCTCAATATAAAATCCCATGGCCCGCCAAGGATACTAAAATCCTTGGTTTTAGTTGGAAAAATGATTAAAAATGGTTGGTTGATGTTGGTGCATCTTGGTTTTAGCTGCAAAAATAGTAAAAAACCCTGAACAACATCCCTGGTTTCAGATGGAAATCCCTGTAACATGCTTGGTTTCAGATGGAAGAATCCTGTAAAATCTGTGGTTTTAGTTGGAACATCTGCAACTTTATCCCATAGATTGGAGTTCTTTGGGGCGAAATCACGCCGTGATTTTCAAGGTTAGCAGGCCGACACGCCTCATTGGTGTTTTCATCACAGCCCATATTTCACACAAGCCTACCTCCCCAATGTTTGTAAGAGTTTGTCTATAAAAGCTATATGGGTTTCGTTTACAATTGTATATATGTATGGTAACTGGTACCACCCAAGGCGATAGCGACGTAAAATCCACCACTAATTGCTATGCAGCCCATAGTCACCTTGGATTTGCTGAAGATTTTTGGCGGAAATTTCCCACTCGGAAATCCACTTAAATTTTGGGGAACCTATATAATTGGAAGATGATTATGTTTCATATGTGTTGAAGATTCCTTCAGCAAATCCTAAGATAATCATAGATTCTATTCATCATCCATATACTTAACCCAAGATAATCCATACATTTCGCCCATCTAACGGAATCTAACGACGTCTGCCGGCGCATGCCGTTGCGTTGGTTAAGGTTCGACAAGATCATGGGCAGAGAACTGGAAGCTCCAGTGATGCCAAAGGCCTGGGAAGCCTGAGAATGGGATGAGCGAAATGGTTTTTACATACCAAAAACCATGGTTAAAATCACCATGATGAACAAGTAAATCAACCTGGTGGGTGGTTGGTGGTTAATAGTGGTTAATAGTGGTTAATAGTGGTTAATAATGGTTAATAATGGTTAATAATGGTTAATGAGATATCTGGTTGGTGCTTTATGTTCCATTTCATACATGGGATGTCATCCTTCCCAGTGACTCATATTTTTCAAGATGGTTATTGCACCACCAATCAGAAGTAAATCAACTATGTCTATGGCCATTTTCAATAGCAAACTGTTAAATTACCAGAGGGTATGGGGGGTGATACTGTGGATGGTTGCGAAATCCTGCACCACCTTGGATGGCTGAAACATGCTGAAACCCTGTAAACAGCGATGTAAACCACCTATCAACTGGTGCAGGATTTTGCAACCATCCACAGTATGGTGATATTAGTGGCATATATCTCCATATGGCTATGGCTCAAAACCATTGAACACCTATTATTCACATATTTGGGTGAATAACCGTCCCGTAAACAGCTATCTTTGGGTACGTAGGGTACCAGGGTTTTGACCAATAACCATAATATGTCTCCACCATGATATATCCATTGTATCCACACCATTTTATCCCAACGTTGGTAATATTAATGGGATACAATGGATATATATGGTATATATATAATATAATATATATATATTATGTGTGTGTATATCTATATATGCACATTCACAGTACGATATAGTGGGGGTTTGTGAACTGGTCAACATATGTCAACGCAAACGTCAACCCAAACGTCAACGCAAACGTCAATCCAAATCAGCAAACAATCAGTTGGTTCACCATGCCTTCCATCTTTAAAAACTTGGAGTTCAGAAGAGTTTCTGTTTCTTGTGGTTTCGTGCATTCCCAATTTTCATACATTTTCCCATCCTTTTTGGGATATCCCACTTGGCTCATAACTTCAATTTGACACGGCGCCACGTTGCCCGTTGCCTGGACCATTGGCCATTGGCCCAGGGCGAGAAATATTGCGAACCCACCGATGTCGACTTTACCCTGAGTGATGAAGCAGAGCTGGGCTGAGTTCCAAAGCGTTCAGTTTGTGAAGGTTGGGCAACTCGCCGCTTTTTGTCATGGGATTTTTTAATGTGTTTCTTCTGGATTTTTGAAACTTAAGTTATACTTGGACTATCTGGACTGGACCTCATTGGCAGCTGCCCAAAATTCGCAGAAGTTGTTCGGTTTCACTCAGTTGTCACACTACGCTTCCATCGGTGCTGATGGGAATAAGATGTGGGGAGGTCGTTGATGTGGGGATGCATCAAGACCCATTGTACTATAATTACACAATATATCATACAATATGATACGGTATTTGGGGGAGATGAGAGCATCCATAAATACCAGCTATTTTGGTCACCAGGGTGCCAAGGTTTTGACATGTTTCAACTCACAACCGCCAGATCCCCGCGCCAGCAGCTATTCGGGAAAAGGCTTCAGGTATACCCTTGGGTGAAGCTGGCAATCGAAAATCTGAACAATGTTCCTTTCCCAGTTATAACTTATAAAATGGTATATAAACCCCATCTATATAGTTGCCTTATGAGCCCATAAACCAGGTGTAAGTGATATATATATATAATTATATATTTATTTATATATATAATTATATGGAGGTTTCCAAAAATGGGGGTAACCCCAAAATCAGTCATTTTAATAGGATTATCCCAGTCATTAGACGTTTGTTCGTATTGAAACCCCATCGTGACGACTGAGGATGGGATCGCGGGCTGAACATCCGTAATCAAAAGGGGCTGATCACAGTGCGAGATCAGCAAAGCCTTGTAACAAAATGGTTAAACATGGTTAATAAGTAGTGCTGGTGATTTCTATGGTGATTATTAGTGGTTAATAGTGGTTAATAGTGGTTAACAATGGTTAATAATGACTAATAATGATTAATAATGGCTAATACAACGGCTAGTACAATGCTTGATAGTGGTTAAGAGATATTACAATGGTGAATGTAGTGGTTAATGCATGACTATTAAAATGGCTGCATTCATAACCAGGGGCTCTATTGATCTCCTGTTGGGTTTGCCCCTGCCGCCAGTGGCGAAGGGCATACTCCTTCTCTCTTGACCATCAGCACCGAACCGATCCAAAATGATCCAAAGTCGTCTTTTCCGCGAAAGAATACGATAGTCCGCGTCAAAAAATCATGGCTTTGTCCGTTTTGCATTTCTCTAACTTTTCATGGGCGGGAGAATGTGAGTCACAATAGATAGATAGATCGATGCATAGCCACATACTACGGTAGTTCTACAGAATAAAGTGCTTTGATGATTTGATGTACGGAAGGACATGTATAGATAGGTAGATAGATATAAATAGATAGATAGATAGATAGGTAGATAGGTAGATAGGTAGATAGGTAGATAGATAGATAGATAGGTAGATAGATAGATAGATAGATCGATAGATATATAGATAGATAGATATATAGATAGATATATACACAGAAACCAATACGGATAGAAGAAATGTTGCTTCATTGCTTTTTACCCTAAGCATCCATGCCCATAGAATAAAGTCAACATTGAAATGACGTTACACATTTGACTGCCAATTATCAATTGCATGTAAACATGCCATGCTTTGGATCCTCAGGAGCGAACAAACAATACATACGTACAGGCAGACAGACAGCCAGCCAGACAGACAGACAGGCAGACAGACAGTCAGTCAGTCAGACAGACAGACACACACACAGACAGACAGAAAGACAGACAGACAGACAGCCAGCCAGACAGACAGTCAGTCAGACAGACAGACACACAGACAGACAGACAGACAGACAGGCAGACAGGCAGACAGGCAGACAGGCAGACAGGCAGACAGGCAGACAGGCAGACAGGCAGACAGGCAGACAGGCAGACAGGCAGACAGACAGCAGCAGGCAGACAGGCAGACAGGCAGACAGGCAGACAGGCAGGCAGGCAGGCACAGGCAGACAGGCAGACAGGCAGACAGGCGACAGGCAGACAGGCGGGCAGACAGGCGGGCAGGCGACAGGCGGCAGGACAGGCGGACGGACAGGCGGACAGGCAGGACAGGCACAGGCAGGACAGGCAGACAGGCCGCAGACAGGCAGACAGGAGGCGACAGGCAGGCAGACAGGCAGACAGGCAGACAGTCAGGCAGGGCCGACAGGCAGACAGGACAGACACAGGACAGGCCGGACAGGCAGACAGACAGACAGGCAGACAGGCAGACAGGCAGACAGGCAGACAGGCAGACAGGCAGACAGGCAGACAGGCAGACAGACAGTCAGTCAGGCAGTCAGGCAGTCAGACAGACAGACAGGCAGACAGGCAGACAGGCAGACAGGCAGGCAGGCAGGCACACAGGCACACAGACACACGTACATACGTACCTATGTACCTACGTACCTACGTACCTTCGTACCTACGTACCTACGTACCTACGTACCTACGTACCTACTTACCTACGTATCATATATATATATATATGTATACATATATTATATATATACATACAGATACATAAATATATATTTTAATATATACACATTTTTCATGCATACATACATATGTACGTTCGTACATAAGTAGATGGATCAACCGATAGATTACACAAACCCGCACACACACACATATATATATAGATATATATTCTTATATAATATGTGCGTGTGTGTGTGTGTGCACAGAGAGGTCCGCATGAGGTAATATGTGGAGCCGAACCTGACGAATTCTCCCGCCCGACACGTGGTGAACGGCCACGGCCGCGGCGCTGTTAGCTTTTCGCTCCCGCAGAGGAGCTGAGACGAACAGCGCGACGCGCGAATCACCTGGTGTTGGGCCGATCTTGAGTTTGAAAGACACTGTGGGTAAAACAATGCCAGAAACCAACCCCCAGTCATCACCATAAATAGGTGGTATGTTAACCATTCCCAAATGGGCCGGTTTATTTTTTGTTTTACATACTCTGGTTATGACAATATGTTATTATGTCGAAGGTTCGTTCATGTTAGGAACCTGGGCGGTAGCTATTGGCGATATGATTTTGGTTTCCCAGGCGTGAGCAAATGTCAGAAGACATGCCTGATAAAAAGTCAGATACAGTAGAATGTGTAAAAATATGCCAGATGGAATGTCACATAGGACGTCAACATATATTTCAGATGAAATGTCCGATAGATTGTCGGTTATGTAGACTTTCAGATAGAATGCCGGAGTCTGTGTCCGGACGGAATGCTGGAAAGAAAGGCAAAATCAATGTCAATGTCAGATAGAGTACCAGAAAACATCCAAATAGAACCTCAGAAGAAATGTCAGATAGAATGCCAGATAGACTATCAGATATATGAATGACAGGCGGACTGCCAGGTAGAACGCCAGAAAATGTCAGACTGTCAGACATGCAATAATGTCAAAGTAAATGGCAAATAAAGTGTGAAATAGAATGTGGATAGAATGCCAGCTATAGCATGTCAGATAGAAAGAATACCAGGTAAAGTGTCGGAATATATGTTAGATCGCCAGACGAAATGTCCGAAAAAATGCCCAAAATAAATAAAAATCATTTAGAAAAGGTCTTGTAGTTTATATTCCAAAATCATGGTGTAACCAGGTCCCCCTATGGAATTATAATGGGTATATCCGCATAGGAATCTAATGATGATATTTGATGATGTATGATATTACCACTTCTCACGTTAATATTATCAGACATTTCCCCAGAAATCATGGTTTGTATGGGGTTTACAGATCTTTGGGACCATTCTGGGGGTGTTTAATATTAAGCGGATGGGCTTATCTGAGTTAATGTTGATAGATCATTTCGAAAGATCATGTATTCATGCGGAAACTCATATCACATCGGTACATACAATTCAATGGTTTTGCTCATGTGCGCTACTTTGTATTGAAACGTTTGCGTGGGTATAATTACCCACCCGATAAGTATGATATACCTCTGGTAATCAAACATGGCAGTGGAAAATCCTCTATAAATGGAAGTGCTCATGGGACAAACATTTATACACTATACGGTATTCTCATGTATTGTCCACTGCCACGTATGATTACCGGAGGGTCTATCCATCAGATAGGGTACCGAAAAATCCATGTAGAGAATATGTACATATTTAGACAATGTATCAATTACAAATGAACATTTCAAATGTGGGTAAGTTTACCTTCATATTACCTTTTGGTTTATTTGCCTTTCAACATGTCCCAGACGTAGGCAAATATAGCATACATTGAGCATATGGGATACGACCCCGCAGGTGATGCACCAAAATGGACCCGAGATCGAAACGTTCCGAGAGCTGCCGCTTCGCGGGAGCAACAAATTGGACACACCACCATTTGTAGACAAACTATGGGTTTTCCGGCCATTTATGAAATTTATGTTAATCACTTCGGTGCAACACAACTGGATGTACCCCTTCAATATTGAGATTGGGAATTTTAAGTTGTGTTCATTGGATTTGTTTTGTTGATTGATTTCGTGTTTCCCTTCATAACTTTGATGTTTTTGCGAGGTGTCTGACTCAAATGTGGTTTCCCCTTCCTACCTGTTTTATTGAAACTATGGGATAGGTTTCTACAGTTACCGCCCTTGGTCCTCTTAGTTTATGCTGAGTGTAGGTCAGTTCGTGTCACAACAAAACTATATAATTTCATCCTCTAATATTATCCCCCCCAGGCCTCACAGTTTAGTATTCAATGTAGTCCTTTTCGGGTCAAACAAAAGGGGTATTTAATGTCAGGGGCACGGAATAAAATCCATCCAACATCACAAAATCCACCCTTCACTGATTCAATTCTCCATTTGTCAATGGTTAAACTATGTTAACCATTGTCCATTGTTAACCCAAATTACACCATTTTAACCAATGTTAAACCATGTTAAGTCCGCATCTTTTGATGCTGGTTTAACCATCGGATAGCAATGATTTCTTCACAACTGATCCCACGGCGAGCGGCGGTGCACCTGACGGTGCCATGGCGCCATGGCATGGGAAATTGGGTTTCACCCGGAGATTTCTTAACAGCCAAAATATCAAACTACTTTGGCAAAGTTGGTTGAAATAGGTTAGGGTTTATGGTCGAGATCCAAGGTGAGGTGGACCCCTTCCCCAATTATGACTTGGTTTATAAACCCATCTAACTATATATATATATATATATATCAGAGCTCGGGCCTAGGAGACCCCACCTTGGATCAATGGCATCGCATGGCCGCCATGGCGAAAGGAGGGTGAGTGAAACGAGTGAAACGCACTGGCCCTGGGTCCTATCACGAAGATGCGAGGCCCTTCCAGTGCTGGTCTTTGACTTCGCCCCGGCTGACGCTGAGTTAGCGCTGACCCATGCTGACCCATCATTTGGCATTGGCAGAGAAAAGATGGTGCAGTGCCCGGGGGACCTGAAAGGTAGGGCAACTATTGATCTGGCCCATACATGTGAACGTGAGTGAAGCCGAATGACACATGATGTCAACATATATCAACATGATAAGATTTACATAAAATTATATATGGAATTGCGAATAGACCAGCTTTATCAATATATGCATATATCAAATAATCGTATTATATGCAATGCATGCATATATATATATATAGTTATTTATTTACCCAACTAATGGAACTTAAAGAGACAAGTTTCTTAATCAATATTTACCACATATTTACCCGATGTTTACCAAATGATCGCTACTTTCACCTTCGCAATGGCGTAAGGCCGAGGTGGAGCAGAAACGCGGCTGCCCTGGCGGGTTCGAAGGGCTGTTTAGTTTTGGCGATTTGGGCTGTCAAAAGCTTTAATTTCCCATGGAGGGCATGAACATCTATAATACATAAATGTATCTATTTGATTCTATTTGTATACCCAGTAAGCCAGCAAGGGAAAGAACATTTATAAATAATTCATATGCCCAGCAATTTGTATCTATTTGTTGATGTTTTTTTGACCTCAAGGCACCGAGGCTTTGGTTATTGTCATCTACAATGGGAGGATTTTCCATAGCTATGCGAAATAACCAGAATATCATGCAGTCAATACTGTTGACTGACCTTGGTATATTACTGGGGGATATGGTTGCGAGGATACGGAAGCCATGGATGTCGTGGGTCCAAAGATGTTTGGGATTGTTGATCCCCCCTGGATCGGATAAATCTTTCAGTTTGCCATGGAAAACTGCATGAAAAATACAGATGATCTATGGGAAGTTACCATGATTTACCTACGAATAATGGTAATTGTCCATGGCTATGTTAAATTACCGGTGCGTCGGCAATTTTTTTGGTGGGGGAGGGGTTCAAAGTGCCCATCAGATCTGGGCGTGCCCAGGTTGGCCGTTGCTTCAGAGGTTGCTCTCTGCTGCTTGGGTTCCCAGGACGATGTGACGTGTCATGGGCACAAAGACCTTTTTAATGTTTTTTGATACAATCTGTGTATAATTATACATATGTAGGTGTGTATACAATACAATATATGCATATCATATATATATATGTATATTCAAAGTAGTACTTGAGACTTAGAAGGTAGTGAACTTTTGTTTTACCCACCTGACTCTTCAGAGGGAGTATGCAAGCTCAGCCCTGATGTTTCAAGAATTTTAAGTCTGGAAATGACACATATAATAAAATTCCGACTGATACCCATGTAATGGAACGTCGCAATAAGTCAAAGACATGAAACCTCCTGCTCTCCAGCAATTGAACTGTTTCTCAGTAGCTGCAGCCAATCAACCGGCTTTTTTCGAAAGGATCTCAAACAATGTCAGCATTTTTTTTGGATGAACAAAGGGCATCTGGCCCCATTGCTAAGTGGGTTTCTGACCCCAGTTACTCTTACGGACTTTTATCCAAGCAGGGCCTAAACTCAGGGCCCCTCCAGGAATCATGGCAGTGGATAATCCACCTTTGAGTTCAATGATTTTCCCAGCTAGAAACATCTCAACGAGCTAATCCAATTCTAAGTGGCATGTTTTAATTTGCAACAATTTTATATTCCAAGTGTGGTTTTAAACACATATATTCTAAGCGCTGGGCCATGAGAGTACATGATTTTACTGGGGGTTTTCCGGCCAGCCAGGTTTGAGAACTGGATAGAGCTTTTGTTCGTGGGGTGTCTTTTTTCCGGCCACACGCGAAAAGATGCAAAACCGACTCACTACATCCAATGTGGTAAACCTGCCATGCACTAAACCTACCATATTTGGAGGTGGCTGAAATCCCACCCATCGATCCGTTGATGTTGATGTTGATTTGGGGGACCACATCTACTTCAAGTCTGCCCATGTGGACTCGACTACTCGAGGCCAAAGATCAATGTGATACCCCAAAGATAGTAGCCTTGGTCGAGCCATACTCCATAAATCTCCATATCCAAAAAATTGGAGGGCAAAATTTACAGGAAGCCCCCTATAATTATTATCTACATATTATATATATATATATATATGTAGATAGATAGATAGATAGATAGATAGATAGATAGATAGATAGATAGATAGATAGATAGATAGATAGATAGATAGATAGATAGAGAGAGAGAGAGGTAGATAGATAGATAGATAGATAGATAGATAGAGAGAGAGATAGACAGAGAGATAGATAGATAGATAGATAGATAGATAGATAGATAGATAGATAGATAGACATATATATATATAGATAGATAGGAAGATAGATAGATAGATAGATAGATAGATAGATAAATAGATTGATAGATAGATAAATAGATAGATAGATAGATGGACATAAATATATATATATATATATATATAGATATAGATATAGATATATATATATAGATATATATATATATATATATATAGATATTTATATATATATATTGATATATTTATTGGCGTAGAAGCCATGATCTCCCGTAGGTTTCCCAAACATCCAGCATAAACGACCCAGCCATCGCATCGCCTTCGCCATCCTTCGCCCCAGCCATGGCTTTGGATGTGCTGTCCGCTGGCCTAGGAGCTGCCATCACAGAAGCTTGGGGAAATATGCTGCCTGGGAGCAGCATGGAACACCCCATATAGTTGTGCTTAATATCTTAGCATATCCCAGATTCTGGGTTCAACATGGTTTAACCGTTTATATATTTTATATGTTGTTTTTTAAACATCAGACGGATCCCCATCAAGGATGTGAAATGTGACATGTGTTTAAAAAGTCGTTTGCCTTTTGTGGCTTCCAGTGGCGTGGCTTCCGTCAAGGACAGTATCTTCAATCCCTTGGCAATGATTACCGTCAGATTGCAGGTGACCTGGGTTGGGTTGCCCCTGCTACAAGCCACCCAGGTGTAGCTGGTGTTTTTATGGGCTCTGACTTGTGGATGCTGCCAGGTTGAAAACGTGACAATGGATGGATAGCTGTGCAGATCTAGAGATTTCTCGGTTTTCTTCTGATTTTCATCATTGAGTGGATTTACCATGATTTATCACACATTATCACACTTTATCAACAGAAACTGACCAAATTCGGAACCAGCAATCCACCAGTCCCTGTTTGGTCTTGGGTCATGATTCAGCAGAACACCGAGGTCAGCCGTGGATTCCCCCCCTGTATGACCTTGGAGTTCCATGTGGGCCCCTGGGAATGATTATTCACACGGCTGGAAAAAAAAAACTGCCCATTTATAGATGAATTGTATCATGAAAATGATAGTTTGTATCAATTTCATGAATATATGGAAAATCTACTATCCATGGAAAATGTATTAGAATGAAAACTTCCATTGAAAATGGGTTTTCCATATTTCCCAAATGTTCCGAGCTGATGTTCCGAGCTGATGTTCCAAGCCTTGAGTGCGGCCGGCGGATCCAGCTGGAAGACAAATATCTAGGTCTAGGTTGATTGTGGTTTATGGTGACATACCCCAGGGTAAACTAATATAGATGAGGAAAACCCATGCTTCCCCAAGAAAATAGTCCAGTTGATGTTCCACATCTATATTTCAGTTTGCTCTCGGGTAACTATAGCCAACAGGGTTTAGAACCCAATGAACTTAATTGGGGGGCACAACCTATCAACAGGGACCAACAAGGCATTTTGGACATGACTCAATCCCATGTCTCATTGTGTCATGCCCATATTCTGCTTGCTGGAAGCATCAGATCCCAGCTTGATCTTGGGTATTTGTTCATTTTTGGGTCGTACTTAATTGGAAGGAAGGAAAATAGTTGTGTCCTCTTGCCCCGAGTGTGTTCATGTTGAATCCCAATTATTGATTGTTAAGATAGCGTCATTATCCATTACCAAGCATTTTCAATCTTTGTACAACCATGATTGGCCATGGTTTTTTCCCCCCATGATACCCCCCATCTCTTTCCTGCGCTGTGTAGCAGGTCGACAAGGAACGGAGCATGTACCGCAGCTTCGGGCAATGTGCCTAGGGAATCCAAGCGTTTCCGATTTTTTTTTGGGGGGGTATGTAGCCATCAAACATATGGAGACTAACGAAATTTGGGGATGTAATTATGAAGCAACAGCTTCATGATTGTGGTTTAACCAATAAATAATGGGTAATGACTGAATTCACGGGCACTTTTAGTACTTCAATATTTTGCGGTAAATGGGTATCTTCATATATGGGTATATCAATTAATCACCAATCCAGGAAGATTAGGATATGACCAGCCAAAGATGTTTAGGGAAAACTCACTGAATGAATGATGATTTGTTGGGAATTCATCGACCATTTTGTTTCGATTGAACTAACAACGTAACTGGGGATATGGCTCATAGAGCCTGAGGAAATGGACATCAATGGTAAGTTTAATATATGTTACCCTCTGGTTATTTAACATAGCAATGGACAATGGCCCATTTATAGATGGTTTACCTATAAAAAATGGTGATTTTCCATGGCGAACTGTTAGTCATAACCAGAGGGTAATACAGTAAAATAAGGATCAGCCATGAGATTTTAGGGGTGCCCCATGTTTGGACAACCATAGAACTGCTTCAAGCGAACCCCCCAAAAGGTGACACGAATCGCTGCACCGAATCGTCGACCCGCTATCCGTTGTGCTATCCGTTGTGGTGCAGCTGTGGGGGAACAGCAGCCATGGAAGAGGCATCATGTGTTTATCGAAAACATGGTTTATCTATGTTTATCTTATGATTGGTTGGTATTACGTGTCCATTATTCTAGCTGTTTTAACTTGGAATTTATACTTAAGATAGATCTTGATAGTCATTTATAGATGCTCCCTGGCGGTGTTGGTTGAAGTCATCTTCCCCAACAAATCTGCATGATCTCAGCAGGTACCCCCATTACATCCCAAATATTTCGCCACCATATCCGGAGCATAATATTTCCACCGCAACTGTCCACCACTTATATCCCCATCGTACATGTCCTCATGAAGACCTTCAATTTGCTCACATGTGTCCTCATAGAAACCTCTGTGTGTGTGTTTCCCACGTCTTTCACCATCATTTTTCCATGTTCCCCGTGAAAACTATGGAAAAACCCACCGAATTCTTCCACCGAATTCTTCCACCCCAGGTCCCTTCCCAGGTCTCGCGCGCATCATCTCCGAAGAAGGCCTGCTTCGTCTCTGGACGCCGGGGCTCGTGGCCACCTGGCTGCGGGCGCTGACGCAGACAGGGCTGCGGGTGGGGCTATACCCCAGGCGCGGGTTGTGGTTGGGATGGTGGGGGTGGGTGGGGTGGGTGGGGTGGGGGGTTTGGGAGTTAGCTCCATTTTTTGGGATGAAGATGGTTCGCGATGGTTCCGTTTCACATGATTCTTGCTTCTTTCGGCTACTGTATATCTGAAGTTATGCCAAAAAACTTGCAGATTGTTAGCTTCAACGCACCTGTGACATGCTCAATTTTCAGCGGCACTGGTCAAATTATAAAATGGACGTTTTGTTTGCTAGCACATGTTAGGTAGGCAAACCCTTACAACGCGGGCCCCCCACCTACTGTAGAAGTTGGTTTATAAACCCGATTAGCTAGAGTTACAAGTATCATAAACCAATAGTTACAAGTATCATAAACCAGAATGTGGTTAAAACATGTTAAAACAATAAGAAACAATCCCCCAATCATCACCATAGATAAGTGGTATGTTTACCATTCCCAGTCATGGGTTGTTTATGGCATTGGTTTTACCAACAAGTTGCCAACATAAATTAGCTGTACATCCCAGGCCCATTAATTAAACCACCATTTCCCTATGGTTTTCCTATGGTTTCGATCTTGGGGGCACCAGGCGTCGTGCTGACCAGGATCAAAGGCCTCTACGGCAGGGATGGCCTGCTGACCAAGATCGCTTCGGGCGCCACGACCGGCGCCCTGGGAGCCTTTTTGGCAAACCCCGTGGCGCCTGGGACCTGCGATTCCTTGGGGCCAGTTTTAATGGGTAATCCACCATATTTCATGGTAAAAACCATGGTTTTCGGTTGAGATTTTCCCTGAATCCAATTATTCAATGGTAATTCAACAGTTATGGCCATGGCTATTAGTTATAACTGGTTATAATTGGTATTAATGGCCATTTAATTAGTTATTTACATGGTATTTAATGGTTTTATCTGCAGTTATCTGTTTTAACTGGTTATTTCTATGGGATTATACATTCTATAAATGGAGTTTTGTTAGTACTTAAAAGTGGTATCCAATTTGGGGGTGATCATTTTCATCACCATTTGGAATAAGAATGGAATGATCAAATGCTCGAAACTTGAAGTCCACTTGATCATCTCTTTGGCCAGTGCGGAAAGGCTGTGGGAATCTGATCTGGAAATGTGGGAAATCCACCTTTTTTGAGGGAAACCAGGGCTGAGATTCTTCCACTTCGAGGTCTCAGCTGGCTGAGAGATGGAGAAACCCAAAACATTGATCTATAGGCACATGGCTGATCTATATTGATCTTTAGGGCCCCCCGAAAAAAAGACACATGGCCGTTTAATCCAACATCCATCAACAAGTTTGTAACAATTTTGATTTCATCAAACAAAATGGGATTTATCATTGATTTGTACTAGGTCCTAGGTTAGTCTATAGCTAGGCCAAGCAAGCTTTATGGCGGATTTGAATCTACACATAGGTCAAAAGAGGCCAATTAGAAACTGGTGCGCCCGAAGCTGTAGCCATCATGGTGCAGTCCAGACCCTTGGATACAACTCAGCTGCTCTTCACATTGCTCCACCGAAAAAATGTGATGCCACTGATCCGGCACGGGGGTCGCATTTGCCCCTAAACCATCTGGGGTCGCATTTGCCCCTAACTGAAGTGGGGGTAGGGGCGAATGTGACCCCTGCTTTTGTGTGGCAGGCGCAATAGTTTCAGAGCCTCAAAAGGATCCTTTCCACCTCAGAGAGTCATTTTCACGTGTTATGTTGGAAGCGCAACGTCGAAAACGCTGTGGATGCTACGTTCCAACAGCCAGTTCAAGCAACTTCCAGCACGCTATGGATGCTAGGGTGTAACAGTCATTTCAATCAACTTCCCGGATGCTCTGGATGCTACGGTGTAACATGCATTTAAATCAAGTTCAAAGACGCTTTGGATGCCAGGTTGTAACAGTCATTTCTACCAACTTCCAGGATGCTCTGGATGCTATGGTGTAACATGTTTTTTGGGTTAGGGGCGAATGTGACCCCCGTCCCCACTGATCCTGTCATCCTCCACAAAACCGACATGGCTGACTGACAAATTTCTTTGTTCCGGAGGAAAATTGTCGATAGTGTATGACGTTTCGGTTTTCCGATACGCCAGGTCAGATCAGCGTAAGGTCCCTCCTATCTTGATCAAATTTCAGATCTACATATGATGCTTTGGATGCGACTTTTTCTGATTCAATGCTCATTTACCAAAACTATCCAGAACTGCTACGCAACTGCTACGCTGCTACTCCTTGACCGACCCCTGGATGACTTCACCTTCCCAGGATTTGGTGCGGGTGCGCCTGCAGAGTGAAGCAGGTCGCTTGGGTTCAGATGGGATCTATGCGACTGGCTTGAGGAGCAAAATGGGCGGCTGGGAGCGATGAGGGAATTCAACGGTGATGAATTTCACCAACAGAGATGGCCATTGATCCAATTGCTCCAATGTAAAGATGGCAGTGGAATAACAAAATCATGAGGTGGATTTAAGCCGCAAAAATAAACATTGAGTGTCCCATAGAATGAGACCATACTGTAGCGACGGAACGGGTACTTTACGTCCTCATGATTCCTCATGAGTTGGATGGGCTCGATTGGCGGATGAGGTGGGTTTGGACGTTGTACGGACTGAGAATTCTGAGCTATATTTTGGGTATACGGTATATTACCTTACATTTGTCATTTTTTTCGGCCGTGATGTTAACTTTATTGATTGTTATTTGGGTGGTGTAATTGATGTTCATGTATGTCTGATTGTTTGGGTACCGGATGGCCCAAGTTACACCTTAACTGAAACCCTGGCCCAAGTTACGCGACGGCTGCAAGCAGGACAGGCCAAAAGCCGCGACATGCACATACCTTCAGGGCATTTCTGGATATCTTCCAGCAGGTCACACGGCAGCATGTGTCCTCTCATCACAATCATGATGAATTAAATTATGATGTGATGTGATGTGATGTGATATGGATTATTATGCGTTTGTTTTTCGTGATATCACCGCCCCCACTACCCAGAGAAATTTGGAAGCATGTTCGACTCAATTTCGCAAACTAAGACCTACACAATGCCCATCCACCCAAACATGATCAACAGCCGGAGAAACTGTTAAGTTGACCTGGTCCCTGATCCCGCCACAAGTTATTCAAATGGGGGTCATCGGAAGTAGCAACAATTCTTGGTAGCCCTGTGTCTTCAAAGGCTCAAGCACTAGCTGGCCTTCTGAGCCTTTCATGTGTTGTGTTCATAACACTTTGAGCAGCACGCCGTCATTCCAATCATGCAGGCAAGTAGTTTGCGAGGCCGGTGGATGCGGCTGCTTTGCTTTTGTGCAACTTTATGGCTTCCTGGGCAGATTGGATCCGACTTCAGTGTGCCAAAACAGAAATATAGTTCGAACTCAAGTTCAACAGGATCAAAAAGAAGTGGGCAAACTCCTTTGAGCATCGCACGTGAGAAATCCGGTCAAGCATTTCGCAGCAAAGTCGCTGACAATTACTTTTACAAACTGAGCAGGCAGGAAGGCATGCTTCTCAGAGACATATCAGGTGCAAGCGAAAGAAGAGACTGGGGCTCCGTTCAATCCGTGCTTGGGAGCTATAACGGCACAGCGGAGCCCATTTATGCCGCTGGAATCCATGCAGCACTGAGATGTGGCAAATATCAGGAGGGTGCATTGTTTTATGACCATTGCAAAGAACGCCTTAAGATCACTCACATGCCTGTCTTCGTTGCAGCTCTTAAAATATTTGGAAAATGTCGGGAGCCGGAGCGAGTGCGCGAAGTGTGGCATGACGCTTTGGGTGCAGGTGACCTTGACCAAAATTTGGCACTGGCTCGCATGTCTGCCGCTGCGGATGAAGGCGACGTGACCACAAGTGCTGAAGTGATGGACAGAATGATTGAGAGCAATGTTTCTCTGAATGTTGTTCATGTGACTTGTGCCATAAGATCCTGCTGGGGCCGAGGGAAAGCACAGCACAGGGCGGCAAAATATTTCTTTGACTTGATGCCAGAACTTGGGATTCAACCAAATGTGATAACTTTCTCGAGTTTGATGCGGACGTACACTACTGCCTCTTTAAAAGATATACTGGCAGCCTATGAGGAGATGAAACGGCTACGTGTAGAGCCAAACAACGTCTTCGCGGAAACCTACCTGATCGCAGTGTTTCAGGGTATTCAGGTGCCGCGAAGTCCGGGTCAGATTGCAGAAGTTCTTCGCGACATGGAGGTGGATCGGTTGAGGGCCGCACGAGATGCGTTGAAGGACTTTGAAGAAGCGCGAGTAAGACTTGGCTTCATGTCTATCAAGATCTCAAAGGCATTGAAACTCCTCTCCTTCTAGCCTTGGCTGGCAGTTCTGTGACCACGACTGGGTGCTCTTAGGTGTGAGGCAGTGGTGACCATACAGCAGTCATTGTTCAAACAGGAAGCGGCGCCTACAGGAATGGAACGGTGATCCCAAAAAGCAGTAGGCTACAATCCAATGTAGAGTCAATTGCAATTATAAGTAATTACGTGTGTTTTAAACAGGCATTTGAGCAGATGTCAGTTAGTAGATTTTTCAGCTGGGTTTTCTTGTTTGTTTCATCGGCAGCTTTAAGTTTGTTTTTGCAGGTTGATATTAGACATGAAGATGTTACGTCACGGTCCGATCAGACTGGATGTGCTTCATTCTGGTGCCTACATCAGGTGGCTGCCTAAAGAACACTGCAACCATGCAAAGATTTTGTTGATATAATATAATTATATTATATAATTATATTTATATGATGATATATGATGATGTATGATGTCCATGTTGATTGATACATGTTGATACATGTTGATATATGTTGATATATGTTGATATATGTTGATATATGTTGATATATGTTGATATATGGTAATCATTAGAGATACTTCTGACCCAGTGTTTGTTTGACATGCATTTCGCATTTCGTGGATTGATCCTTGGCTTAATCTTGACGCTTCGACAAAGTTTTCTGAGTTGAACTGCTTGGTGTCTCGAAGACTTCTTGAGCCCTGAGTAGGTCAGATGCTGTAGGACCACATGATATCTTAATGGGATTAGAAACCAACTATTGGACAATCTGATCGAATGATATTAAGTCGGATATCCAACCATCAGCACCTTTGGTGCACATGGTTGGTATTTGGCATACTGTAACCCCTTATTAGATACCGCATGTTAAGACCTAGAGCATTGGATCATATTGGATCTATTTGTTTCGGGTCCCCGCGCAATGGCACTGACTGAGGCAGGCATGAGAGGCCTCTGGTGCGGCGCGCCTGCCAACGTGGCGCGAGCCGCGCTGCTGTCGGCGGGACAGCTGGCCACCTATGATCAAACTAAGCAGGCCATGGTCACGGCACAGGGTCTGCTTGGAGGATCATCCCAAAGATTTTCGAGGTTGTATTTTTGTGAGACTTTGCCGAGCAAGGTCCCACCCCCAAAGATATCCAATAATATTTGAAAAAATAGGGCGCAACTTCGAGATTTACGAAAATAGTGACACCGTTAAAAAAACCGTGAAAAGGTCATGAAAAACGAGTGAAAACTCCGTGAAAAGGCCGTGAAAAACCCTCAAAATCAAGTTTTGCGATTTTGTGACCAATTTTTCTCATGAGTGCTCCCGCTCTATGTGGCTGCTGCTGA